AGATGGAATTGCTGAAGACACCGTCGTTCTCTGCGCTCGCCATATTTTAAGGTTTGTCATTATTCTAAACTGACATTTTGAATGTTTGTTCTCTGGATAAGAATTGATGCGGTGTTGAGGAAGAAAAAGGTTGGAGGGAGTCGGTTAAGCGCGCGAGACTCCGCAAAGTGAAGCAAAACCAACGCAATTTTGGATCACTTGCGACACTGTTGTTGGGAATGTCTGTTTAGGGAATGTAAACTACCTCAACTTTGTCACCAAGCTCAGCACCGTTTACCCTCTACTTTAAGTTACTCATTGCCCCAAAAAAGTTAACCAATTTTCCTTCTCTTGTAGACTGGATCATCTAATACTTGACGAAACATCGAAAGAAAATCAGAAAGAGGAATCACAGGAAGAAGATTTTGGTCAGATGCCATTAGGCAAGACACAGGCCAAGTATTTGTATCCTGAAGAGAAACTGAGTTTATTACGCAAATTTAATGTTGTTTTAGATTGCTAATCTGCTGAATTGAAAAACCGACTTACTTTAACTATGACCCAACTCCCTTTTAATGAAAGGCTCAGATAGCCTAAATTGAATTTTTTTCCTTGATGAATGACTAGATGTACAATATTAAGCTACCCGGTCAATGACTCTTTTCTTCAATCCAGTTTAAGGAAGCTCTCTTTTAAAGACGTCAAAGTAAGTGACTTTGCAAACGTGTTTTAATTTTGGACTGCACGCAGTCCGTGTTCGAATATCGTGTCCTTTGGCAATACATCACACGAGTTCAGATTTAGTCATTGTGTGAACTCTGCATTAAAATGTCCAGCATTAAAACTCGGTTGGCTCATTGTGCTGTGTTCAAGGGCATTCTACCAACGCCATCTTGCTCTAGTCGAGAGGGGAAGCAATAATAAGGGCAGTTCATGCCAAGAAATAACCAAAATAATCTGTATGTGATGGGCGACTAGACTTGCAAGAAGAAATCTTTATTTATCTTTTAACTCGTCTGGTCATTTATTGTTATTTGTGATTTAATTTGTTTAATTTGTTGTACGCCTTTCTTTGATGTGCTCTCTCTCTCTTTTTTTTTTCCCAAGCTATTATTAGACTTCCTAATGTATCTTATGCACCATGGTCTGTCTGGCTTTGGAGAAGAAGTTGATTGTAAAACTCTGAAGTATCCACAGGTAGAGTTAAAGTAGTTTAACCCTCTCCTAAGAAGAATGCTACATTACGTAACCGTGTCTCAGTTATTCGCTGGAGCCATTTCAGTTAGAGAAGCCTTTCGACTGAGCGTCCAAAGCCAAAATCAAAGTAATCATTACGGCAAATCAGGAAAAAGGAGGTTACCATAAAAGGCCAATGAGAATTCAAAGCAAATTGATTGGAGTGCGTGACTCAATCGCGATTGGTTTTTAGTTGACATCTGATTGTTGAGAGAGTGGCGCAAGATTTTTAGTTCAATCAGAGCGAAGTAAAGCAAAGCCGATGCAATCCTGTTCTACTTTCGACACTTGATCGAAGTGAAATCACAGAAACTGTTTGAAACATAAGATATCGTAAGTGACTTAGTCACGATTGGTTAAAAGGGTTGTGCGGCAATTTGAAATTAAGCGTGGGAAATTTACTTGGAATGCGTTGGTTTTGCATCGCTTTGCTCTCTGACTGGCTCAGATAACCCGCGCCACCCTTTCAACCAAGTCAAATTCAAAAGTAAAACCAATTGCTTGTAAAGTTTTCGCCTTCCTCCGCGCTTCAGGCAGTCTGCTTGCTCTGATTGGCTCCTTATAAGATCTTTCTCCTCTTTGATTGGCCGCTGTGATTACTTTGGCTTTAGTGTTAAGACACTCTATCAAAAAGCACTCTGAAGGAAAATCCAAGATATGTCAAATCACTTTCGACATTGAATTGTAAATTATCTCTTTTTCCTAAGCCATTTTATCCGTCCTAGGTCCTTGACTGGGCAGGATTGCTGTTAAACGCTCATTACACCCAACTGGTGCTCATACCTGAAGCCCACGAAGTACTGGTCAGCTGTCATCAACTTGTGGCTAAACAGGTATAACAAACTTCAGCATTAGGGTGGGGAGGATAGGGCAGGGTAGCTGGATTCTTTTTTTTGTCTAATGCTTGTGCTTTGAAATCAAATGAGCTCTAGAGAAGGAGGTACAGCATTCATTTATGATAAAGTGAACAAATGATAATCACAGTCTTTTTTCCAATTCTTGATTGAGAAACAAGTTTTTTCTTTTTTGAAGCTTCATAGCAGTTCATGGGGTGTGAGGCACAAGGGATAGAAGTTTTCTCCGGAAAATGCTGGTTTATTTTTTAAGTGTTCAATGTCAACAGACACTCGAATATGCGATGAGTACTTATTTGTGATACACTTTACCGCCTATGACTTAAACCATCTACTAACTTAGTAACCATTTTTATGTTGGTGAGGAATATCTTACTTAATTCAAGTGAGATGGCCTTGCCTATAGTAATGTAGTATTCTCTCTAACGACCTTGGCATTGAAGATCATTTCTCACCTTTTTATAATTATTTTTTTTCTTTAGGTGCGTACTTATGATAAGCTGCGTTCTGTGGAAAGTTTCTTGGATCATTTTCGGAGACGGAAGGCTCTACCCAAAGCAGAGAAAGTGGCACCTTACAGCATCGAAACGCTGGAATTATGAAACGACGTATCTCTGAATGAGTGGTACTTCTATTCTTTGATGTTGAAGATTGGGTGTGAGGAAGGCAATCGTGCCCTCTGTTCATGCTAGTAGTGACGAATGAGAAAAAGGATCAATGAGGCATTGACCGCACTCTCGGCGCAAACAGTCCTCACTTCTACCAACAGCTGATCTTTTGCCCAACCTGATTGCTATGGGCGATGGATTTAGGGCGGGAAAATTACCGAGAAAAACACGTGCCGTTTTGCGCATGCTCAAGTTGTTGTGCGCCACGTTTCTCGCCTTTACGGACAGATGTACCCAAGAAGACGTGTCCATTAGCGATTGAGTGAAATGCTGGTTAAAGCGCTCTTGTTAAAAGAAGAAAAAATGTTAGTTAATATATATTTTTTTCGAGGCTACTACAAAAGCGTGTTTTCCAAACAAGTGATAGCGAAACGCCTCTGAACCGAGATGACAAAGTGAACTTTACGGCGCGTGAAACAAACTTTGACAAAATTGTGGCTTGTTTGTTCATTAAAATTTACCTTTAAAATTAAAAAAAAAATAGGATTTTGGAGTTGGATTTGTGGTTATTACTTTTAGGCAATTACTTATGCCAGTGACTGTTGTTGTGTCAATGAACTTTTAGTACTATTGATGTATGATGTCCTTTCATGGTAGATAATACACGTGAGAGAAATTCTTGAACATGGTTGATCATGTTAAGGTCAAAGTTTTGTTGAAGTAGTCTTTTGGAAGGGATTTATCTCAACTACCCAATAAAGTGAACTGCGGCTTTAAACTCGCTCTTGTTTAATGGTTAGGATTGTAGCACAACTTGTTACACTTAACTTTTCTAACTCAACTGTTTGACTGCTTACGAGGCTGTTGCTCATGAAGTTAGAGCTGATATCACCTATACTCAGTTCATTTACCCATAATTCCTTGCTTGGTATGTTGCAACCAAACTGCAATTGTGCAAAGAGATGGTTTTTATCATGGAAATACAATCAAGAAATATATAAAATAGTTAAACTGGTTAGTTTAGAAATAGTTTAACTGTAGTACGATTTAAAGATAACTGCATGTTAGCAATTTATAACAAGAGTGAACATCATTCGTTTTTGGAGAAGAAGGGTCTACCGATGTTGACGCCTAGTTTTCATAAGTTAACTGGAAATTAGTTAGTATTCTAGTTACACTACCAGAACGACTGTGAAAAGCATTGTAATTGAGTGTTAACAACTAAGTTAAAAACGTAAATTAACCTCTGTAAAGAGTTTAAAGGCTGACGTTTCGAGCGTTAGCCCTTCGTCATTCGCTCTGCGATGGGCTGACGCTGGAAACGTCAGCTTCAAAACTCTTAACGGTGGTCAATTTACGTTTTCAACTCAAGTTGTTAACACTTAATTACCTGTTATTCTCTCCCACCGGCGCAGCACCACAGTTTCTTTAGAAACTTACCCCCGTTAATTAAAAAGCATTGGTATGGTATGGCTTCAATACAATTAACAAAAAGACGCTCGATCATGTTACCAAATCAGTGATTCCAGATTTCCCATGAAGAAATGGCGTAATACTTGTAGGAGGTCAAAAGGGTCAAGACCGAAAAGAATTACTTAGCTTCTTACTATTAAAAGAACCTCTAGAAAAGGGTAAATCGTAAAAGATTACTATTAGCATATATATATATATATATATAATATTTATATATATAAGTTGGTCATTTCCGTTCGCACTAAAACCCGTAACAAAAACTAATCTCTAAATTACAGTAATTTAAGAAGTTATCCCACGGGGTTACAGTTAAGAGAGGGACCGAATTCAAAGCGCTTCTTATAGTTTTGCATATTTTCACTCTAAAATAAGCAATAAAATGTGATTTTGCAACCATTTCATTTTGCACTAGTTCTCAGTTTCTCAAGGCTTAGAAAATTTGGGATCATTGTGGCGGCTAGTGAACTTTTCAAACACCCACGGCTTCGTCATGATCATTGATTTATATTAGCAGCCTTCGTGTAGAGGTAACCCCGTCATTTTAATGGAAAGGTCAAGGATTTCGATTGTAATGGAAGATAAAGAAAAAGTATTATGAAAACTAAACTTTGGCAAAAATCTTGCATCATTTTTTCCAGTACTGCTCGCAAGTTGCTCAACAAGAGCCCACTGTTTGCATTTCAAAAGCAAATTTAAGTTTTAACTTCTTTTTCCGGCAAGTAAAAAAGGTCGCTTTGAATTTCGTGTGGGTAAAATATTTCAATTATTCCAAGAATTCGCATATGATTCCGCGCCTACTAGCGCGGGAACAGCGTTGTGACGTCACATGTTATGCAAATATGAACGAGTGCGATTTCTTGGCAATCGCGAATTCATGATTAATTTCTAAAGTGGGGACATTATCGAGTGTGTTGATTTATGTGCTTGAACCGAACCGAGAAATATCACCGGTAATACCGGAACTCCTCTTTAAAGGCTGCCCGTAACAAATTCGCCATGTCATACTTGCAAAATGGCCCCACGAGACGTCCTGCAAGCGATAATTTTGACGTTGCCTGCAAGGTTGGTATAAGATAAGTGTTCGTACGTTCGGTCGAAACGTCTGACCGAAATGACGACAAATTAATTGTTTATTTCATTCTTGCCGTAATTGCGAAACATGTCAGGCTTTGCAGCGTTCACTTCATCCCAGTTGTCGCCTTACGAATTTTACTCGTGCTAAAGTTCGGTGTAAATTTCGTCGCTTGAGATCTGTTACCGAAAACTTAGATGCAGTCCAAGATATTTGGCCAGCTGATTGTGCTAGCAGTCGTAGATTTTTCAAATTTATTGATAGTTCAAGTAGATTAAAGCTCACTAGTCGCTTTTGTACAGAAGGTTTTCTTTTAAAATGCTCTACCTTGTGGTAAAATTTTTAATGCATTTACGACCAGTTTATGACCGCCTGATCATTACGACTTAAGCCCTACATTATATATATATATATTTTTTATTTGCAGGTGATGTTGCTCGGAGATTCCGGTGTGGGTAAAACATGCGTCCTTGTGAGGTTCAAAGATGGTGCTTTTTTATCAGGCTCGTTTATTTCTACTGTTGGAATCGACTACAAGGTGAGGTGAACAGTTAAACACAGCCGTTTTTGTCCTATTTAACTCAGCAGGTATTTGCATATGAATTATCTTCTTGATTAATAATTCCCTTGTATACGTGTTCGGGCTGTCTTCCTGTTTTTGTAGAATAAAATCGTCGACGTGGAAGGAACTAAAGTTAAACTGCAGGTAAGGACACGTTTCATGTATATTTATGCCGAAAAGTTCCGATAATAGAACCTGATGTTCCCTCGGATGCATGCTTGTTTTAAAATATTTGTGAGTTAGTATGGAATGTTAAATTTTTGATTTGTTTATTTTATCGCCCACTCCAGACGAAGAATTCTTAGCAGCAAAGTAGCTTCAAGTAGGGTTATGAATAAATGAAGAAAGCACATTTATTTTAATATTTTATTTTCATTAATTTTTTTATTTTTGGCTTGTAAATTGGATGAACTATCATTTAATGAGGTTAAGGTTTTACGCTAAAGGTGATTAAAAAAAAATTCAGAAGTTGATGCCACGTAGTAGTTTTGTGAAACCCTTGCCGGAGAGGACTGCTGTTGGAAGGGGGGTGGAGGGGTAGGGAGTCTAGTGCTATATAATAACATTCCCAGGGGTTTTGGTAACTTTTTCCTCAAGCAGCTGCAGATGTTATTTTATGTGTTTGTGCCCAATGAAAGGACCACAATAACTCTTTTCCTCTGCTGGGTCTCAGGAAATGTTCCCCTAGAAAAAAATTTGAAATTGAGAAGCTCAGAAATGTCATTTCCAGCATTCTGAGCATCAAAAAGAGTGCTGTTTTATTATAATTTTCATCCACGCCTCTTTGATTTGCCTGTCATTCATGACCAGTCAGAATGCTGCTGCTGAGGAATGTTTGGGAAACCCAAAAAAGAGAACCTGCTTCCAGGCTAAACAGATGGTAGTAAGAGGTCTTATAGGCAGTGGGAGACTGCTGGTAACCAGCTTTTATTGAACCCACTGCATTGTGTGGCATTTTGTTATCATATTTGTATTCTAGCTACAAAGAAATAATCCCACCATATTTCAGTCTTGCTATTTTGAGTGACTGTACTTAGAACTCTTGCTTAACTTTAAAAAACAGTTTCTCAAACTCTCCTGTTACCAGCTGAATGGGTAACTTATGATTTTCCTTTTGGTTCTGTTTTATGTGACAAATTTCATAGATATGGGACACTGCTGGACAAGAGAGGTTTCGTAGCATAACTCATGCTTATTACAGAGACTCCCAAGGTAATAGCACAATTGTTGACTTTTTACATTCTTTTCCTCATAATTTCCTGGTGAAAAAACATTGAGAACTTATTAGGATGGGCCAGTAACTTCTGGGGAAGGGGTGGGAGGTATTCTGTAGAATTTTTGGTCAGGGTGTGCTTATAAGTTCTCCAAATCCAGACCAATTTCAAACCAGAAGGTGTCTTTTCCATACCTGCTATCTAATATAGGCTGAGTTGCTCAAAGCTGGTTTGAGATAACCCAGGGTTAGTTTGCAATTTTATTTCGGATCTGAAAGCTTTCAAAGAAAATTGACTTTAATTGTTTTTGTTTACAATTTGATAATATGATGCTCTTAAAGGAATAAGGATGATTATCCAAAAAAAAAAGGCTTTTGAATAGAGTAATAATGAAACCTGGATTTAAATTTATCCTTGGGTTAGCACTAATAGGCCTTTGAACTAGTGAGTCGTGGTCTGTAAGATCTATATTCATTTTAGACCTTCCCTCTGAAAGGTGTGCTCTCTTTTATTATGTTATTAAACTTAGTATCAGTACTTCAATCAAGAATTGATAAAACTCTGCTAACAGTAATTAATGTATTTTGGTTGCTTCCCTTTCTCTTCTATTTATCTTCTGGAGGCAAAAAGATAAAAATGCCAAATAGTCTTGTGGGTTTCCTTAGAATAAGATCAGCCTTCCTGATCGTATTCTAAGGAAACCCAAAAGACTATATACAAGTCAGTAGTTTGTTAGAGATAATTGATGCTTTGTTTGCATTATATAACTCCAAGGTTTGGGATAACTTTCTGTGACTATGAATTATAATTTGATACAATTGCAGCTCTTTTGTTGCTTTATGATGTCACAAGTGAAAGTTCCTTTGAGAATATTAGGGTAAGTTTTTAACTCTGTGAACAATTTTTTCAAATTCATAATTTGCAAGTTGTAAAAGACAAAATGCCAGCCAAATGTCACCTTGAAATATTATGGTTTATTAATATACTTAATGTGTGCCTCTAAACATGTACATGTACACTTTGACATGACCTTCATAAAGTGATGAACAAAGATAGCTGCTTTGTAAAACCCTTTCTACTCTCCTATTTCATTATGATGTTTTTTTTATCACCACTGGGTTGTAATTATTTAGAATTATTAAAGCAAAATTATATTCTTCAAAATCTTATGCACTGGAAAAAAAACAGTTCCTGCTGTACGTTACAAATTAGTTTATTATTTAAAACCCAAAGAGCCCTCCCATCTAACCCTCCCATCCCACTGACAAAAATGGTATGACCCCCCTTAAAAAATCCCAAGGTTGTAAATTTAAATGTAAAGAATTCCTTAGCACAACCCAATCTGAAGAAACTTCCCTAAACCTTCTTAGAGGGTTGAAAACCATCTTTTTTAGATAATTTGGTCCATCAACATAGTTGATAACGTTAATTGGCCACCATAAAGAGTTTCAAAGCTGCCATTTGAGTGTTAGCCCTTCATCAGGGTGACACATTTGCTCTTGCAAAGGGCTAACACTCAAAACCACAGCTTTGAAATTATATACAGTGGCCAATTTATATCATCAACTATACAACAAAATTATCTTGTTATACTCCCCACTGAGGCAGCACCACAGTTTCCTTAGAATATTACCCCCTTCATACACATATCTTTTTGGAGGTTCTTCAGATGCAGGTAAATTGTCTTTGTCAGTTGTGAACCTGACATCTATAGTTGATGGGATGATTCTTAAAAAGAATACTTAGTTCACATTTTCCTATTATTTTGTATCCAGGCATGGCTGGCTGAGATCTATGAGTATGCCTCATCAGATGTAATAATAATGTTGTTAGGGAACAAGGTAAATGAAGGACAAGATAAAGTTAATTTGATCAGGAAAAGAACACACCATGATCCTTGATCTGTATCTTCCTTCTATTTGTACCATGCTTACTGGTAGTCTTAAGAGAATTTTGTTCCTCCACTTGTGCTTCCTTAGCTTTGTTTGTTTTATTTTTCCACTTTTTAAATTACTAATTACAACTGTTACAGTGCTTTTTTCCTATTGTTAGTTAAGTCAAAGAATACTTGAATTTTATTTGTTTCATTCATTTACTACTGTAACACTTTTGGTATCACCTTAGTGATAAGGATACTATGTGTCACACTTTGTATAGACCTCTTATGAGACAGGTTTAATTTTTGTACTGTTCCAATCTCACTGGTAGATTTTGGTCCTCTTACTTGTTTCAATAATTAAAAAAATGATCTGTTGACTAAGTTTGATAGCAGCATACTCCATAATTATTTATGGCCTGTTTTTGAAGATAAAATATTGGTGATGCATGTTTCCTTTTTTTGTTTGTTTGTTTGTTTTTCAAAAATTTCTTGCTTCAACTAGGCTGATCTGAACAAGGAGAGAGTTGTTAGCAGGGAACAAGGGGAAAAACTTGCCAAGGTCTGTTGTCTTAATTCTGTTTTACCTCTTTATTCACTCATGTACATGGTTCTCTACAATTATAGTAACATTGTAACTGTTTGAGGAGGTAAAAATATTTCACATGGATCAAAACAGTGATTAAAGAATAATATGAGGAGAATATTAAATAGAGGCAATTCTCAGTTTTGGTGTAGAAGGGGGAATCTCTCAATAAAAACTTTCATTATTTCTAACTATACTGTAATTAATTCTCCTCATTGCTCAGGACCATAATGTAGCATTTATGGAAACAAGTGCAAAGAGTGGACTGAATGTTGACTTAGCATTCATGGCTGTCGCCAGGTAAGGGATGAAAAAAAAGAGATTTTTTTTTTTGTGTACAATTACTAATTTGCTTAATAGATGTGAGTCTTAAGCACGAACACCCTAACATCAGCATGCATATTCTCCATACTGTTCTCCATACATTTCCTGTGGTGCTGACAGGGAGAATTTGTTTAACATTTAAGAGCTTCTTTAGTTGGTGATCATTTCCTCTATTGTTGTGACCTCAATGTTTGATTCAGGGCTGATATTAAATTCTAGTCACCCCTAGGAGTTCAAGGGCTCATGTAAGCATCGCTTTATAGCAAACTTGTTGGTTGGGCAGAAAATTGTCATCAAATATGTAAAGAAGTACATTGTAATATCTCTTCAGAGACATGAAACACAGAAATCTCAAGAGGCCGTCTGAACCAAAGTTCAACATTGAGCAGTATGTAGAGTCACAAAGAGAAAAACCTGGTTGCTGTTCTTGACACTGGAAACAAGGATCTTGGGTTAAAAAGTTGAATCAAGTGTAATTAAAAGTAATCCATTAGAATAAAACTATCTTTGAAATCATAGCAAAAGTAATGTTTGATATAATGACATGTGGTGTTAAATGTTAAAAAAAGTTTAAGGACTAGCACCAAATTTTAGCATTTCTGGAATGGTAAACAGGGTTGCGTATGCTAGAAGTGCCTTATAGCATTTCTTTTTTTGAATTTTTAGTTCTCATTACCATAGTCTGTTGTGATATTAATAATACTGGAAACTGGGTAAATTTCTGAGGAGTTTTCTCCCCTATTTATTGATAGTTGTTAATTTTGTTTACCACAGATGGAATTGTCCTTTTTAGTGGCAAAATAAGTAGGGCTAGAGTAGTGAAAGTAAGGAAATATTTTTACTATCAGTAGTGTCAAATGGCTTGTTGTAACAGTACAACTAAGTTATGTGTATCTTTTTTATTTATATTGGTTCCTGAAATTTTTGTGAACATTCAACGAAGGTTATATTGAATGAGAAATTCCACCCATGTGGGAGAGTTGAAGTAAGTAAATGAAGATCCCTTGGAAACATTTAGTAAATGGTGCATAAGCTATATAACTTTATAAAATTGTGAGATGTTAATAGTGGTAAGTAATGAATGTCAACCCCCCACTTTTACAGCACTCTTGGTTGAAAAATCTCAGTGTGCAGTTTCAAATGTGTCACTGGAATTTCACAGGGTCTGGGGTTTTCTAAACCAAAATTTATATATTCTCTTATGTAATACATGTTTACCTGTTAGGACTTTCCATAAAAAAAAAGAAACAGAGGAAGAGTCCTTACTGGAATATACCTTAGCTACATTGTAGATGTAAAGAATAATATTTTCCCTCTTTCCTGGGGTCACAATGTAGTGTCTGGGAGGAATCACAATTTCTACTTTAAAATTTTTAAGTTGGTACTCCTCCCAGACAATTCAAGGTTTAGGGAGTTGAGTGACTCTGGACTGTATAAGAATCAGGCTTAATGGCTTGATTTCATAACATCTCAATACTTTTGAAGTGTAAATGTTTCATAATGTAGGTGAAGCACCTGATTAAGTACTTGAGGAAACAATCATATCAGTATGTGAAATTTAAATGCATTGAGGTAATGCTGTGCCTTTCAAGATAAATGCAATTTGTTAACTGAAAATATTTTTCAAAGATGAAATTCAATTTTGTAGAACTTGTCTCTTCATCAAGTGACTGATGTAATGAATTAGAAATAACTAGGAATATAATAAATGTCATTTTAAAATGTGAAATGCTTTTGAAGGTTATGAAAGGGGATGCTGTGCCCAGTCTCCACTCTTAACCCCTTTCATCAGTAGGCATATTCTTCATACTGTTCTCTATACATTTCCTTGACAATTAATTTTTTAAAACTTCAGTGTCATGTCTTTCCCCGCTACCGTATGACGGCCCAGTGATGGGGGCAAGATGAAACGAATCCTGTGTTCTGATTAGCTAGCTGAGCAGGAAAGATGGGTCTCCTGTGAAAAATTACCCTAAGCTAGATTTTGACTTGGTTACTGGAGTCTATACAATACCTCCACTGAAATGAAAACAAAACCGTGCTGGGAATCTAGGAACCCAAAAAAGTTTATGCAAAATAAAATTATGATCGCATTCCGCTTTTGTGTCTATTTTCGTTTTCGTGCATTCTACCTAAGATTACGTCAGTGTAGCCTGCGAGCTGTTGAACGAGTATCTCCTACGCCTTTCGCGAGGTGCGCGAGGTAATCGAGGCGGTGAGCGAAAGGTCTTCGCGGTGTCTGGTATGATACTAGTATTTGAGCGATGCCCACGAGACGCACGTACAGCAGCCTCGAAAGGCTTACTTCAATGGCTGTCCACTATAATGCTGAAACAATTTTAAAGTTCGACAACGACCACAACAGTAGAAGTCCTTGAATTTCTGACTAGCACTGTGGCATTTACAATGGGACTTTCTGTCTAGGCAGAACCTCTAGCAATTAACAGACACCTTACGCTATCAATGTTCACATCTTACTTTAGCACGGACAACTTACATCAAATTCATTTTTATTTCATATATTTTTTTTTGGTGTATATTATTCTTGAAAATTCTTTCCCAAGACATATCATAAAGAACAAGAGAATACCACTGTCTCTTGCTAAGAATATTACTCTGGTAAAATATTTTCATAACCACATCGGAAATGTAAAATGAGATCTTGCCGAATTTGAAGTAGCACATCTCAAAACTAGTTCCTCAAGACTTTAAATTAAACGAATAACGTATGCCTATGGTACAGAACTTCAACTAGGTTAAACTTTGAGTTTTGATAGTTTATAGAGTTAAGTTAAAAATAAATAACTCGAGTGTTTAGAACTCCTCTAGTTGATGAAGTCTACTGAGTTCCACACAGACATAATTCAATTTTTTATGACTTCTGTCTAACTCTGCAGTAGTATTTCTTGAAGATGCTTTGGGATCGGCAACATTGGTCCTAAAAAGAACAGGAAATAATGCGCATGTTACTACGAGACAGACGTACTGCACTTTGAGGGTGGGCAAGGGCGACTCAAAAGGGATCAACAGGGAGAGACAGGGGACGTGCAGGTTCCCGGATGAAGTTCACCATCTGACCGTTAGCACCGCTAGCCAGATTGGTCTAAGTTTTCTCGACAGCACTGAAATCTACCCAGTTTCAAATTTGAACAAGTTGATGTGTTCTTTTTTGGGTGTATTTAGTTCGGTGCAATTTCTCTTAAATGACATTTTGGCATCTTTGTTTTGTATGTCTGAAACTTTCTACGTCAGTTAATTTCTTAAAAATTGATTTTGAAAAAAATACATTTTCAGCAAAAGGGGTAGCAATAACATTACGACCTTAAAAAAATTTACGTCTAAAATCTCCTTAGAATGTAAAAGTAACTAAGTACGCAAACTGTGAGTAAATCAAAATCACCGTAAATACAAGTTATACGTTTTCTCAAGAGACATCCTACCTTCTGTGTAGTGTCCTTGACAATTGATTGGTGCGGTTTTCTGAGTCATCATAATCTGGAAAAATAAAGGGAGATGTCATGGAAAACTTATTAGTGACAAATTCTGGGATCAATATCAGTATCTGAGCAACTGCCCACCTACCCCTCCCCTAACTCAACAACAGTTGAGTTTGGGAGGGGTAGGTGGTGCGCTGTTGGTGCCGATGATTTGGAAAGGGCACTTGTCAATGAAATTATAATGGGTTGAAGAAAAATTTTACTCCACTGTACGCACGTTTCCTAAAAAATTTCAAAATTCGTTCACGTGTCAGCGACTGGTGCAGCGGCCAAGGGCTATTCTAAGCTTTTTAGAGTGCTCTCCAAACTTCTCAAGTGCATCACATCTCGATGAACGCAGCTGATAAGTGAAACGATTGTTTTTATCAACGCAGTAGTTTGAAAGTGTTTCGTAAAATAATTTCCACTAAAAAATAAATCCACTAAAATCAGAACGCACAATGTGAGAAGTTGACCGGCTATTACACGAAAATACCAGCTATGTTACGATACAATTTGATGAAAAACTGTCTGATAAACATGTTGCCCATCATTAAAACCGTGACAACCAGAGGGGTATCTAAGAAGTTGTGCAGCTCACCTTAAAGCAGGTTGAAGCAAAAAAGGAACGAAGATCACTTTGAACAACATTTTCAATGAAACGACGTAACGGTAAAATGTGTGAGTTTGGTGCAGTCCTGTAAAAATGAGCAAGGAGAAGTTAACATCTACAAAATCGATAAAAAAGGGAGCAGTAGCAACATTAACAATAAGCACAACCTTTACACTCTCTTTCTATCCCGTTAACCAATTATTTAATAGAGGGGGTAAGTTGCTATAGAAACTGTGGTACTGCGTCAGTGGGCGGTATTACACGATAATTTGGTCTTATGAACTGAGTTGATGATGTAATTTGGCCACCGTAAAGAAGTTCTAAAGCCGACGTTTCGAGCATTAGCTCTTAGTCAGAGCGAGCCAATTATATAACTTGATTTTCGCTTACCACTGCGTCAAGAAATCTTCCACCATGTGGTGAAGGCGATCTGGTCTAGGAAGAACAACTTCTTTTGTTTCTTTAGGCAAAGCTGAAGAATAAGTAGACAGTTGGTCAGAATAATGGAAAATAAAAAATGGAGCATTGCTTGATGAAACGCCAAATTATAAAACTGACTTTGTAAAGATGTATGGCGAAAGTAAAGAAAATCGATGAACGTCAGTAGCTGAGGAGCTTCGTACCTACCCCTTCCTTAACCCAACAGTAACCCTTACTAGTTATCAGTTGACTGGGGAGGGAGGGGTAAGTGTGCAGTTGCTCAGATACTGATATTGATCCACAAAATCACGGTTAACAACTTAAAGGTGAAAGGGTCAAAATAAACAAGGGCTATCCAAGCAAAAGTCAAAGAAAGTAATGTAAAAGTGATAAAAAGGACACCGTAAGGGAAAAAAAAGAAAGCAAGAAATTATATTATGTGGTGTTACCTGTCGGAGGTTCTTTATAAAAGTAGATGACCGGATGTAAAAAGTTCGATTTATGCGCCTCTCCTGGTTCTCCGGTGGCACGGTCTGACTTAAACGTGTCCTTGCTGTGGTGAGAACAAAGGAATTATCAGCGGGCAGGGCTTACAAAATTTCAAATTCCTAGTTTTTAAAACTCAATTCTATTTTCAGAAGGAGATATTTCTAAGCTTACTGAAACAGAAGGCAGAGGAAATGAAATCAAGATCTCGCAAGAGACAGAAAGACCGCCATGCTCACACAATATTTGCGCAAAAACACAAATCGGTAATTTGTTGAGCTTTGCACTCACCCAGCTCCAGAGAAATCTTTGCCATACTCCATATTGAGTACTATCATTGGGCCTGCTGGACGACCAGTGAACTCTGACAGAACAAGAAAACAATTTCATTCTAAATTGAGGCGTATACCCTTTATTTCATAAGGAGGTCTTACCAAATTACAAGCTGAGTCGAGCAGTAGGAGAACTGGTGGACCGAAAGAAAGTCTCAAGAAGAAACGCGACGACAACAGCCAAGACAAAACTTATGAAGTTTTGCGCATCAGTTAATCTGGTTCGACTTTTGACGACGTGATAAAATTCTGTTTGAACTATGATGTGGGTCTCTCTCGTAGGGCGTTTTTAACAGCCACTCAAACCCAATAACCCGAAAATCCATAAATTTGGTTTTCTTTCCTGTGCGCTGTGAATGGTCCAGGAAACTCGCGCAACCCTCTCAACCAATCAGATCATTAGAAAACTAAAGCCAATCATCACTTGGGCATTCGCGTTTTCCCGCACTTCTGACAATTTGCTTGTGTTTAACAAACTTAAGTTCTCATTGCCCGTTGTAACACCTCATTTAGGCTTTGGTTTCCCGATACAGTCGAAAAGTTCACAAGAGAGCGTCTCTTTTTGGCACAATTTGACGCTAACGAAGCGGTCTTTCCTATGATAAAGAGCAAAAGTAACACGACAGTAATTATGTGTGTCAATCCACCCACGATACTAGATCTCGTCAGAATGTTGACAAATTGAACAACTGCGCACCTACCCCTCCCCTTACCCAACATTCACCCTAACTTGTCATAAGTTGACTGCTGTTGGGGTAGGGGAGGGGTAGGTACGCAGTTGCTCTGATACTGACTCTGACCCGAAACATTACATGATGGCAAGCTGGAACCAGACCTAAGTTATGATCTACGTGATTTAGTAGATCATGAAAACATTACCTTCAAATTGATGTATAAGTCTGATTGGAAATTCCTCGTAGTATTCTACTTTTCCATTATCACCTGAAGAAGCAAGACGTAATATCATATATAACTGATACTTTGCTTTCTCCTTTCGAAAGCAATGACCAGCATCCTCGTTTTCCTAATTGGACAAAAGCATCACAGATCACATCGACTTCTAAATCCTAGAGCTAAGTAACGAGGATGTTTGACAGAGGGCAATTTTCAATCAAGTTTCGAAAGTAATCCCACAAGGCATAAGTTTCTCATCACTTCTCTCTGCGATTGGTTTAATTTCCCCTCCTTCAATTTTTTCAATTTGTCCATTGTTTAGACCAAAAATCCCACTTTTTTCAATCGTTGGTGTTTTAATTTCACGTCATCTCCACGAGGATGCAATTTTTAATGTGTCTTTCTCTCACAAGGCTCGTTTTCAAAGAACTCAATCTAAAATTTATACTCACGCAATATCATGACTTCTCCGAGGACCCCAAACATCTGATAAATTCCCTGTTTGAAACAGAAAAAGCTTGCCATGCATTTTACACACGTATGAAATTTATGTAAGGTCAACTATTTATTTTAACAACGGCTAGCAAAACCCAAGTTAAAACAAAAATTTCATACAAGAGATGTGAAAACTTCATCGATTATTCTTATCATCTGTGAGAGAACAGTGCTGTTGTCAGTTGACAATCTGAGCGGAAGTCATCATCATAGTCAAGCGGTGAAATCTATAGAGTCACTCCACTCTGATGATGACTTCCGCCCAGGTTTTCGAAAAATTAGTCCCTCTCACCAAGTCAAACATACTTCACGAGTTTAAATCATTTGTTGGAAACTGAAATCTGGACATAAGATGGACCTCGATTGATAGATAAACACAAATTTATAAGGCAAAAATTTCCTTAGTTCTAAAATCAGTTGAAAACTGAAATGAGAGTCAAGAGAGAGCTAAGCGAGCATATCACTTAGATCATTAAGAAACATTAAAAAAAAACTAACCGATGCCTCATTAATCCTTTTAAGTATCACATTCACAACTTCTACAATGGGTACTGTCACGTGAGGCCAGACTACTTTATGGTTACGCCATTCCAACACACGATGAAGAGTACGTGCTGCGGGAGAACAAAGTATTATAGCAAAAGTCAAAGTACTGTTGCTGACACAGTCAGACAAGAAAAAAATTGCAATCAAGTATTCTATTTTTAATTTTTAATAAGGGGACCACCAGCCTAAGCCTGCAACCGCGCTTGAAGTAACAGAACTAATACCCAATGGAAGATTGTCCAGTTAGCTTAGTGTTTACAATCGCATTTTGAAAACCTGCTCACGACCAAATCGTTTGAAAGAGCTACGTCTGGACTGCAAAGCCATGCCTACGCCGTGAAACGCTAAAACGAGATTTCACCATAGTTTGAACCTGATGTGATCATGGTTTTTAATCATTTTGCCAGCTTAAGTTTTTTTACTGTAGTAACTTTGATGTGTACTTTAGCCTCTAACATGTTCCTATATCTAGATATATAGATGATTCAGCCAAGTTTAAATCAAATTTACCAGTGTATCGAAACCCGTGAATGAATCCCCCTGCTGATTTTCGGAAGTCAACAGAATGGGTGTTTGTTCCAGCTGCAACGCAAACAAAAAAACTACGTTCCAAACTAAATTCTTAGATTTACATCATAAGAAATGTATGGCAAACAGCAAAGAGAATGTAAATTTTAGATCTTGTGTGCGAAACTTTTCAAAAAGAGAGTTAGAGTTGTATCTGCAAATGCTGCAACTTGTTGGAAAACAAATTGCGTGACCGTCACGCCCAAGATTCCTAGCAAACTTACCAAAATAAAGTCTTGGAATTGAAGTAGACTCATAGCTCGGTTTGATAGCTGGATATTTTTTGGACCGCTTTCCTCTGCTTGGTCTTGGCTTAGTTGTGTTGTCAAATATGGAAAAGTCAAACTGACAAAAAGAGAAGCAACTTCTTAGTACAAAAATCACTAACTTCCTGTTAGCTACTTACCAAAGTTGTGAGGAAGTTTAATCCCACGTTGCTGGGAAAAAATTTTTTTTCAATGCCAAATATCTAACAATTATGACACTCTCTTCAGTTGAACTTTTTTAAATGGGCTATTAGTTTAACACTTTGACTCCTAAGAGAGACTAGCATCTAATTTCTCCTTATAATATCACCCATGAATCACACATTAGGGTCACGAGAATAAAGGAAAGGATCAGCAACAGAAGAAGCTTCTGATTGTTAAACGAATTCTCCTTGTCAGCACCTTAGGAAATTAACAGAGAACAGTGTGGAGAATATGGACACTGATGTTAGGGTGTAAAATTATTTTTATACCTTAAAACCTAGGCAGCGTATAACGCGATCATAAGGCTCTCTCACAGCAAAGTTATCAGCTGAAAAAGAATCATTGGATCAAAACATTTTCAAAGAGGATAGGTGACACTCTTTCTAACAAACACCACGACAATGAGAAAACGCAAAAATTAAATTGCATTTAGACAATGAGCAGTCCCTCATTTTCGGCGAAGTCCGTTGCGCGAGTTAATTCAAAAATCGGCGAAAAATTTTTTTTTTAGCTCACCGCGCGGTGCGCTAACACCACTTCTTTTCTCACTGATTTTTCAGGACTCGCGCGACAGACTTCGCCGAAAAGATGGGACCGCGCATGGTCTTAAGTGGACTTAGTTAAAATGCTAGCTTACGTTTACCATGTCAAGCACAGAAGTGTAAGTTTTACTACTCAGGCTTGGCTTTTATTTGAGAAAGATGAGGTTACCGCAGGTTTTAAAACTGTCTCTTCCTGACTCTGTTTACTCAACCAGAGCTGTTATGGTTATTATAAGAGTAGCCATGACGGTAATGTGATGAAGGTATCTGACAAAACACCTGCACTTCTCACACTTGAGTTCATGAAGAATATATCTCCAAATAGTTAAAGTTGAGTTTACTGAAGATAATTTTAAAAAATTGATTAAAATACTATGACCTTCCATTATTATCACTTTTAAGAATACAAAACACTAAATTGACATTAATGGTTCATTAAAGAATAGGACTGCAGTCCTCCCTTACGTGCTCTTCCACTCTCTGAGATTGGCTGGTCTGCTGTGACAATGTTCTCTCCAGTGCCGTCAAAGGCATCAACAAACAGTTTTCCATCTCTCTTAATGACGGCCATTTCCTCTATAGGAGCCTCTGAGTGTGTAAAACATTAACCCAAAAAGGTATACTAAATAAAAGTGTGTTGGATTTTCTTCCGTCTGAACAGTATTGTGAAGATACTTACAATATCATCCTAAGCAGGAGCTTTTAGCAAACCACATTCTTTGGGAGGGTGGGGTGGGGGTCATGACTGAGCTAACAGGTAGTTATGTGTACAATAATTATTGTATTGACTTAATCAGGCTTTAGACACATTGATGACTGCCAAGTGAAAAGTGAATTGACGGAATTGGAATTAAAAATCGGTTAGGCAAGGTAATAGAGCTTACCCAGTAACGCATCAAGAGATTTCAATTGATACGTGTCCAAGATTCCATTATTCACGGCTCTGTGAGAGGAACAAATTTAAACCAGTTACAGCTAAATCAAATCAGTGGAAAGTTGTCTAAGAGAGTCTTGAAAGGCTGTATACTGCAGTTATCACCAGTATGGCTGAATATACTGTTTCGGTTTATGTGAAGGAAATGTTTGGTAAGGTTTCTTGTTTTCATAGCGTGTTGAAGTAGCAATTTTGCGACCGAAGAAAAAAGAAATGTATAACTCAGCTCTTAAGCAGTCAGCTGTGTTGTCTGCGTGTAATATATCACTAGTTAACCGTCACTCCCCAGCTGATTAATGGTTCATTTTCCTTGCAATACCAATAAATTCTCAGTAGAAAGGTGACGAAGAAAGACAAAGATCGACCTATGTGATACTGCTTGATTTAACGTCAAATTCTCCAGAGCAAGAGTTATGAGAAATGTAATAATAATGTGGAGAACTAATTTGGATCCTTGAGAGACCATGTACCATACCTCAAGTCACCAACATAGTGGGTTTCCCAAGACAAACGAACCCTTGATCTGCAATGAAATGAAACTATTAAATTAAGAGTACCAACAAATTCATTAACCTATCCAGTTATCTAAGGGTTGGTTCAAAGTTAAAAAATAAATTTAAGAACAGCCATTTCCCTGATGCATCTCTGATAATTGCTCAAAGGAGTTATATTTGTGTGCATCTTAATAAATTTAAGCTTAAGCTTAAAATCCATCATGTTCCATCTACTCCATCTGTCTTAATGTTTTCCTTTTGTAGCAATCCTTGGATTCCTTTAAATACTTATTGTCCCTTTGCTGTCTTCTATCTCAGTCTCCAAACCACTATTTAGTAACCTCTTTTAAGCTGATAGAAGTCTGCACAAGATTATCATAACATCATGAGGCAGGCCCTCCAAAAAGTAACTTAAAAATATGTTTGACAAGGAACAAACCTGGCAAACATGTGGATTAAATTGGTAGCTCCCATTATGCTATCTGCTGTCTCAAATGCTGAGTTCCCTAAATCAAGCAATGAAATCAATAAGTGTTATTGAATAGAGGTTTTTATTGAGAAAACTTCCCCCCTCCCCAACACTATCGGACATCTCACCTCTTCCTACAATCAGTACTGTTTGCCCCTCATAATCATCAGGATTTGTTGAAATATCAGAGTAACTCTAAAACATTGAAAAAAAAGTGTATGTTAAGGTCATACCATTGTGCAGTATTAGGAGTATCTTGAATACCTCTCATAGACTCCTTTGCAACTGTATTCTAGATGTCAGTCATCTCTCCCTCCCCCCCCCCCCCCAGAAAAAAAGAAAGGTGGAGAGTGTTGTGTAACAGCCTAAAAAAGGATATAAAATCTAAATCTAAACTTTGAGCTAGTTTGATCAATGTAAATGAATTGGTCATGATTTAAAAGCAGGAAATTAATTACATCAGGGTTGATTCTTGCCGTCAATTCTCTGAACAGCCCTCTAGCTTCAGAGTTAAATGTTGGATCAAAGCATCAAAGTGCCTTCAGTTCATAAAGCTGTCATCTATCAACCCTGATTATCAAAATTGTTGAAATATTTCCCCTTATCTTCCCCTTCATCAATGTTTTTTAGGGGAACTGGACCATTTGTAGGAAACCAACTTAAAGAGGGAAGCAGGGTCTTTCAACAAAATTTAACAAGGGTGTCATCATGATATATTTCTTTGTAAACTATATTTTTTAATGACTAGTAAGAGAATTTGGTGCCACACAAAAAGCCTCTTACTGATGGCTTTCTCTATACTCATCCCCTCATTCTCCTCTCATTCCTGATATTGCAACGAGACCTTCCATCCTAATCATTTCTGGGAATCAAAAGGCCAATTTCAAAGTATCATCTCAAGGACAAACCTCTGTGTACTCAAATCCTTTAAACTTTCTGGGGAGATTTTCAACAGCTATACCAGTACTAACCAAACAGAAAAGAACAAAGCAGTTAGCAAGTTAGACAACCAAGCGAGTACTACAACTAACAGATTATCAAAACAGGGTTTCAATAACTTTTTCCATAAGCAGCCACCAATAGCATAGACTGTGCCCCAAGAAAGGGCTGTAAGGTGAAACCCAGACATGAAGTGGTAGGGCTGAACAGAAAGCGGTAACCATGCACCATCATGATATTTTTTTAAGTAATTCATATCTATCATCTTTGAAAACACAAGTTCTTCTTTAGTTACCAGATAACAAGATTCTTGCAGGTGTATTCAGTCTCATTTTGATCTTTGAGGTGAAAAAGAGCATCAACCTCTTCCCCACTTCTAGACACATGCAGTATGTTTGTGTTGTACTGGACTTTCAGTTTGAGCTTGGTGGCATAGTCATTCAGATATCTCACCTAGAGAGAGAGAGAGATGATCAAGTAAACAATATTTCAATAATTTTTTTATAATAAATGTATGCCACACAAGTATTCAATTTGCAGAAAAGGCATAGCTCAACATCTAGAACACTTACCTATGGGTTCTATTTCTAAACCTGGTGTCACATGAGGGTGCAACTGTTTTGCTTTTTGTTAATATCTATAATTAGTATATTTCATTCCTTTTTCATGGTGAAAGGTTTGTCCTTCTCTAGGAGACATGATGGGCCAATGGTTAGTGTGCTGTGCTACATATCAAGAGGTCAGGGTTCAAGACCTGGCTGTGTCAATGACTGTTGTGTTTTTGGGCAATTAACCCAAATGCTAGAAGGTAATCTTGTGATGAACTAGCATCCTATCCAGGGGGGAATAGTGATACTCCTTGTCACTTTATGCTAAGGAAACCAGGATAAGCTCTGGCTGGTGGACCACTTGGCTCAAGAGCAGACTTACCCTTACTAATCTTCCATAAGGAATATAATGATGAAGGTGATGGGTCTATTTAAATTGGAACAAAACTGTGAGGTTTTCTTTTTGGGGTAAAATGTTTGAAAGCTGAATTGGAGTCATCCCTGAAGAGTTGAGCAGAAAGATATCACACTCACCAGGATATCAGCATCTGGGAAAAACTGTTTGGAATATTTAGTCATTAAAAGAGACTCATCATCACTGAGAAGGGAATTCCAATCATGACGCATGTTAAATTCTTTGTTTGTTTTTCCTGAAAATGAAAATAAATGTTGCAAATCAACTTAGTTCTGGAGGTTTAAGTTTCCTCAAGAAAGAAAGATAATCTAATGTATCACTCAGCCTTTGGAAAGCTGAAAACTTGAATTGATACAAGATGTTCTTAGTTTTTTTTCAAGAATTTTTGAGATGTCTCTAAGTTCATATGTATAACTTGTATTAGGATAACCAAAACATCATACTTCAATCCTCAAGGCCTTAAGATAAGACCATGTGACAAAATAGAATTTTTTGTTTCTTAATTGATTTTCAATTTTTTTACTTTCTATAACACATCAATAACCTTTAATGGACAGTAAGGGTACCTCAGTCTATTTCATTGTTCTCTGCTTAAAAGGATGCAGTCAAAGTGTTGACCATAACCCTAACTTGGTCATATTCATTGAACATGAATAATAGATTAATGCAGTGTTTTAATTTAAATATTCTTTAAATACTACAGCCAATAAGAACACATCATTTTGTGAAATCATTCATGCAGACCCTTTCCCCACCATCCTTAAGTGAAAGAAATGCTTCAGTCTACAATTTTATAGTCATTACAAATAAGGGGTACCTGTGTGTCTCTTGTTGATAGATATTAATTTCCTGTGTCTTGGATACTTTGTATAAAATGCTCCTGAAATTTTGGTTAAATAAGACATAAAAAATATTGGTAAAGTTTAAGTTGGCATAAGTTTACAACAAACATCATGTGCTCTGGCATTTTTCATTAGGTAATTAAAATTGAATGTAATTGTTGCTGATTTCTGCTCAGGAGTGGATATGTAACTGGAATGCAACTCACAAACTAAAATGTCCTCACACACAAAAATTTGGTTTTAAAATTGTAATTTCAAATGTCACAAATCATGTTATCCACCAATGTAATAAGCACATAAATGACATTTTCAACTCTAATCATTCTTATCCATTTTCCAAACTAACTTAGTACAGAAAAATCATTAACCCTTTAACTCCCAAGATCTGATTGACAATTCTCCCCTCTAGCTGCTACATATTTCCTTGTAAATAAGTTATGAGAACTTGGTACTAGATCAAGATAGCAGATTCTACCTAATAAGTTATAATATTCTCATTACCTGTTTGCTGAATTGAGTATGCATGGATATTATAGGGAGAAGTTTCATTTTAATCACTTCTGGGAGTGAAAGCGTTAACTGTGTATGTTCCTTGTTTGCTATAGCTTAATAAAGTTGCTCCGCATAGTTTCATTTTTTTCTTTAAGGAATATATTGCCAGAGAAAGGCAGTGAAATGATAATACTGATTTGTTTTCCCAACCAAAAAGCTCTAGAACTTTGTTATAGGTAAATCAAAGTGAATTACCTTACACAGATAGTATAGGCTAGAAGAAAATTATTGAGTTTATACTTATTGAAAAAGTGAACACATGTAAAATGCAAGAGAAAGAAAAAAGAATTGTGAGCAACAAAAAATATATGGTCAAACTGTACAATGAATTAAATACCTCTAAGTACCCTAGGGCAATTGTGGTTTTACTTTTAAAAAGTTTATTTCTTTCTTTAGGGTAAAGTGTTATGCCCATCTTATCATTGAGTACAATTTTCTTTTCAGTATTACAAACTTAATATTTAGCAATATACATTCAGAGAAAGGATATTTAATTACTTAGAGGAAAAAACAGATGTTCAGGTGCTCATTATATAGGGGCAGCTGCTTTCTTTCATTTTCCAAAAAAAAAGTAAGAACAATATTTACTTGAATTTTACATGAAAAGAAATGTCATATTACTGTGTCCCATACATTTTCATGCGTTTTATGACTTAAAAATGGTGTAGTAGTAGACCATCCTAAATTTCTAAATCTGACTGCTCAAAATTATACAGATCATACAATAAGTGATTTGTTAGTAAAATTTCCTCACAGTCCCATACTATTGTAAAACAAATCTGTTTTCCCAATGGCAATGTATTGTTTTTTTCATTGTTTTCTCTGTCCAAGAACTGAATGCATAATGTAGTATGGGGTTTAGCGGAAATTTTACCCTTTTTTCTCCGGTATACATAGGAAAAAAATTCGATGTGCTAGTTCTCGCATAACAGAACCTATGTATAAAACGCTGAACCGGAAGGAAATCATAATGCAACGAAGAATAATATTATCTCGAAGAAAAGGAAATCGATTACACAATTATGCAAATATTGAAAGCTAGTTGATATTTCAAACTTTAATCCTCGCATCACTTTCCTTCCCGAAAGTTTACAACTCTCACGATCAGATAAAGGTTTTGACATAGAAGCCTTTTCAGAGGAAGTCGACCTAAAGGTTCCATGGACAGTCGATGCAATTATGTTCCTACTTGACTGTCACCTGTAGCGTTCGATCTGTATCGGTTTCATCCTTATGGCAGCTGCAGATAGTTTAGTTTTTCTTCAAATTTTAATTGTGCTTCTAAATTGTCAGCCACCGATTACCCTCCAAAATGGTGAAATATTGTTTAACAGTATTTTAAAACTGATTATCAATTACTAACGACAAGCAACTTTGTGAGGTTCGCCTTCAATTTCTTTCAAAAAAATTCGATCACCAAAATTTGAACGTGATTAACACCGATAAATGATCAGAATAGAGTTGCAGGCTAAGATGAAAGTGATAAATTTAAGCTTCACACTTTCGATTACATTTAAAATATCCCCAAAATACCTGCGAGTGCGTCACGTTCGAAAATGATATAATCACGGCCTGCGCGCTCAAGGTAAAATCCCAACTGAAGCCCTGAAATAAAAAATTCAGCTAATTCAATACCAACAAGTGCACATATATTTACAAAACACATCGAAACTGCCAAGAGATATTGCTCGTTTCAACTCGAAAAAAAGGGCAAGAACTTAAATTTAAAGATGATTTAGAAATCACTCACCTCCCGGGCCAGCTCCGACAACACAGTACTCATGATGAACGGCATTTCCAGTTGATTTCACACACGATAGAGTGGAAATAATAATGAAGAGCAGACTGGTTAACCGGTTCATCACACAATTGAAAGTCGCTTGTAAAAGCGATTAGCGAAAGGATGTAACTAAATTGGTGAGATTTCAGTGACTTGTTAACTCTCAGTAGGCATAGAATCCCATGCCAAAACAGGAAATCGATGGTAAATATCGTGTTTTTAAACATTCTCAGCTGGATCGTTATTGGCTGCCGCAACAACAAAGAAACCATAATAAGTATTGTCTTTTACGTCATTTAACTGTATTTTTCAATGGCGATACAGGCATCAAATAAATTAATCAATTCGTACGATTGATTGAGTTTCTTGCTATTCTAGAAGAAACTCGTTTGACTTCTTCATGCGTCATTTTTGATCGCCATGCAAAACAGAGTGAAAAAATGGTTAAAATTTCTAAGCGCGTATTAGTAAATAATTAACAAGGTGATTTGAGATTAAGGTAAAGTGCCAAAAATAATTCTGAGGATATAAATTCTTTTGACCAAATGCTGTTGAAAATTGTAGGTTTTTTATCTTACCGAACGGTAGGCGCTTATCTTGTACCTTCAGCCGCAACTTTTGAAAATTATTTCGTGTTCGTCTTTATTTGGTTTATTTACTTGACAATCCGGTGGGATTGCTCCTGGTCCCTTTTTTGGCTAAAGTTTAATATTAAAGGCGTGTAATCAATATTGAATGAATGACGAAGTCACTGTGAAATTGAGCTCCGCGTAAACTTCACATATGCTTCTTTTGTCAAAAAGCAGAAATATATATTTTTAATTACAGCCCACTCTTTTCATAACATTTTTTTTTCAGAAATTAACCGAAAGTTTGCCAAAAGAAAAAATCGAAATGGGAACAGCGAGTGATTTTCACGATTTCTAAGCAACATTTTCCCAGAAGAAGTATCTAATCGATCCTATCATGTCTCACGGAAACAATTAAAAGCATCGAGTCGTCGATTATTTTTTCTGAAAAATTTGAATACTAAAAGAGCGAAATAAAGCTATGAACCAAGCTCATAAGACAACTCGATCTGAAAACCGAGAATTGTCCAAAAACGCAAAGTAGAGATATGTAACTTAGAGATTTTGAGTAGTCAGGAACCAAATTATCTCTAACTGATTGATATGGTTTAGGATACTGCGCCTTTTTATTGGAAGAATTTTGAAACATTGTGACTTCTTGTGCGCAGACACGTTGGAAAAAAGGCTGTCTGTAGCTAAATAATAAAAAAAAAAGTCGAAGAAAAAGAAATCTTCATGGCTCTCCTAGCGGCTTCCAGAAGTGTGAATATCAATCGCCGTTACGGGAGTTATCAATAACCATGAGTATCATCGGCTGTGTTTGACGACAAAAAGAACAGTGAGGTATGCATCTGAACTCATTGTACTGTGAAATCGTTGTAAAAAACACTGATGCGGAGTTCATTGATGAAACCGAGGTTCGAAGGTCGAAGGCTGACCGACGGAATCTCCTTTCGGGTGCCCTCTCACAAGAGCTTAAAAACAATTAGAACAACAAAATCATAATTTTAAAAAAACCTCCGAAATATTTGCGGCCGATTATGGTAAAGTCAGTTCTGGGAATACGTGATAAGAGATTTTGTAAGAGAGTTTAAACATGGTTTTGTGTGGGATGTCGTTAGTAAAGATGTCCTTGGCCGCTCAAGAACATATGAACCCAAACCCATGTTTGCTAAGATATCTGCTAAGGGTTTTCACATAGAACTTTTTGACATGATCGCCTTCAATTAAAGCTTTCCTTTTTTCTTACACGGAGAATAGCGGAAATTACTGTGTCAGCTTTGACACAGGAAACGCGGAAATACAAGAGAGCAAAATGAAACACGAGGATAAGATAACTTCTCAAAGATCTAAAACAGGATGAAGATGAGAGATCAGGGGACTTCCTGTTATCGAGATGTCCTCTCCGATGCATTGCAGAAAACGAGGGCGGGGGAGTTTTCAACCAAAGAGACAACGCTAGTCAACGCTATTGTAACATCTTTCTCTATGTCAACAGTGAGATGACAACAATATGTGAAACTGAAAGCCTGCGGCATCATTTTATTCTGTTTTTTAAATACACAATGTTTTGTTTTCTCGTTTTTCTTCATATTCATACTTCGACTATCTGTCCAACAATTATTATTCAACACAGTATCGTCTAAGACATAATTTTTTGTAGTCTCATTGCCCGAGTGACGAAAGAGCTCCGTTGAAATTTCTCATTAAATATCAGTCAGGGGCGTGACACAATTTCAGCAAGCTGGACGGTGTGACACCTGACGTGACACCACGTGTGACAGCTGGTAGCTTTAACCAAAGTTACCTGTAATTTCCTCTTCCCAAATTTGAGTTATGGATGCAAGTGGTACAAGCCTCTTTTTGCCCCTCAAGCTCCATCAAAATAAACTCCTGACATGTTGTTTCTCTTTAAATTCGGTGAAAAATAACATTTTTACAAGAACCAGCTTTTCATCTTCAGGTGCATAAAATAGTGGCTTCTCCAGAAAGGGAAATTGGACTTAAACTGTCTACCTTCCAGCCTGCATCGCTACAACAAAACTTGAAAAGCACAACATCGCGCCTATATATTAGAAAAAAGACACCCCAAACTTTTATTTCCAAAATCTAGATACGAATTCTCCTTTTTGTCTGCTATTCATAGCTCATAATTTTGGTTCTGAGAAATTGATAGTAAAACTTAAGTAAACAAGATTCCATGGTTGATATTTTATACTGGTCGCCCGTAGGTTGTGAAAGGGCTTATGCCATGTCCACCGAGACAATTTTTCACATATTTGTGGTTAATGAAGCACTCGATCAAGTTCTTCCTCCAAGAAACAAATCGTTATCATTAGAAGACACCTTCAGTTCCCTGTAGTCTTGAGATCCTTTCTCGAAGGGTTTTCTTTTCACTGAACACAGCCGTCTTTTTCTCCAGATTCTCTTTCATCTTTAAACCCTCGCTGGCAATCATTTTTATTTGAGCATCATTTTCTTCTGATAGCTGTCGCCTAACATCAGATATTTTCTAATAAATTCTGCAGAACTTCATTCAGTTTTGTTCCACTCTCTTGTCACAATAGTCTAAAATTTCTAAAAGGAGATATGTAGCAACGTGAGAATCACACAAAAAAGCATGAAATCACGAAATTGTGCATTAGTATATGTCAGTAGTAAATCACTACGCAAAGAGAAAGCAAAGTAATTATTGAACGTACTTTGAATGATCTGCTTGTAAGCGTTAGCAGCTGGTGATTCTGGTACTTCGGATAGAAATGATTTTCCTTCGTCACAACAGCGACCAATCCTGGGATCCAGCGGTACTTTGCCAAGAAAGGGTACTTCCATATCAGCCGCCATTTTCTGTGCCCCTCCTGTGGTAGGTGGGAAGATCTGCGACTCTTTCTGCATCAAAGACGAAAACAAAGCATTTCAAATACGACGAATTCTTAGTGTCTCAAGTCTACCAGATTTGCCTCTCAAAACAAGCAGACAGCAACTTCAGATGAACCCGCAAGTTTCCAACTACATTTTGGCCTTTCCAATCAAATCACTGATACACACACATATTTGTGGTCCTTTTTTCCTCATTGCGAGGTCTACAGAAAGAAATCAATCTTCTAGACTTGATTGTCATGAAAACTAAGATTCCAATTGTCATTTATGAATTTTCTTTTTCAGCGTTTCCTCTATTGGTTCCTTTTCAACTGACTAACCCTTTGACTTGCAAGATGTTTTAAAATCAATTCTCATTTATATTTGGAAGGGGCAGCTTTCCCAAATTTGCTGCAGTAAGTCACTGCATGGTATCAAACTACAAGATAAGATTATCAATTGTTAACTGTGTAAAAAAATTTTACACACAAATACCTTGCAATTGGGACAAATAAATCCACTCATATTTTCCACCACTCCAATCACAGGCATTTTCACTTTTTTACAAAAATTAATTTCCTTACGTACATCAAGCAATGAGACTTCCTGAAAAAGAAAGATATTAGAAGATAAACCACACCCAGGAAGTCCATTGCCTTAACTACTATGTCACCATCTGACAACTATCAAGAGGCACAATCAGGAATACATTAAATTGTACTTTCTTTTCACTGATCTATAACTGGAGTGTCAAGTTTGAAATAATTCACTTTTACAGTTGAGTCATTATACTTAACAACTTGGTTAAAATGTTGACGAAAGCCACCTTACAAAATTATTGAGTGATTAAGTTGTCTTCAAAATTATTCCAGTGTCAAGAAACGTTAACTGATTTCATCTCTCACCTGAGGAGTGGTTATGATAATAGCTCCATCAACATGTGTGTTACTCAAATACTGGACAATTGACAGGTGCTCATCAGAGGTGCCAGGAGGGGTGTCCACCACTAGGAAGTCTACATCACCCCAGTCAACATCGCGTAAAAACTGTTTGATCAAACCTGTAAACCAAAAACCAGTCATGATACTAGATTAGATGACTGTTCAGGTAGACAGGCAAGACACACTGAAACCTTTGCTCATCTATGGTGAAGATTAACCCTTGACATCCTAACATCAGTATGTATAATCTCCTTATTGTTATCTACACATTTCTAAAGGTGCTGACAAGGAGAATTTGTTTAACAATCAAGTGCTTCTTTATTTGGTGATCATTTCCTTTATTCTCATGGTCTTAAATGAAGGATTCAGCAGTATTATTGTAAGGAGAAACTAGATGCTGGTCACTCTTAGGGTTTAAAGGGTTTATGATGATATGTACCTATTTTGAAGACTGAATGGGAGGGACAGACTGGAAGTTTCCCCATCTGGTTCCACACAACTCAGTTGATAATCATTTCATTAGAGATGGTAGTCATTTTTTTTCTTCTTCCTTAACTACTGCATTCAGATTAGAGGATGTTTGCAAATCCAGAAATGCCCCAATTTCCCGAAATCAAGGCATTACCCTTTCCTTGATGCCTGGGGAAAGAGGGATTCACAAAACTATAACATTTTCTTAGTCTACTCTGGCAATTGGATTGATAAACACATTGTGAGTGGCTGTTTTCTTGCCCAAAGGCTGCTGTGAAAGGACACATTCTTACCATTTTTCTTGGGTCCCCTCCAAATAACTGCATCACTGGGGCTGCTTAGCAAGAACCCCACAGACATAACACCAAGGTTGTCCTCTACATACTGAATAGAACAGAACCAACCTGTTAACTCCTTAACTTCCATGATCTGATTGCTAATTCTCCTCTCTAGCTAATACACATTTCCTTGTGAATCAGTTACATGAATTATATGTTAGATCAAGGTAAAAAATTTTACCAGATCAGCTTGAGTATACTCATTAGCTGTTTACTAGATAATGTACCGTGTAATGATGTTGTAGAGAGAAGTTACAAATCTCTCACCTCTAGAAGTAAAAGGGCTAAAATGTTTTTATTATGAAAAATAATTGACTCTCTCTCTTTTCTCTCTGTTGTGAAAGGGGTAAGGGTTTGTGAGAAAAAAAAATGATCACTCCATTGCATCAACAAGACAAATCATAAATTTAATATATTTAAGCTCAATAAAGAAAATGAGACTACTATGAAAGCCACATACCACAGGTGACCATCCTGAACCACTTTGGTGAACCTGTGAACAAAACACATTGGTTAATTAGCTGGAAAGTAATGTTACTGTATTTTCTTTAATATTACAATAGAAAGCAAATTGCATTAAAAGAAGAAGATTAAGGTGAACTAAATGATGCATTCTGTTTATCAGATATTTTCTCAGAATTGTTAAGTATGTCTGAGGTGTGTGTAGCCTTCACCAAGAGGAATTGTAATCCCCCCCTTGTCAAGCCAGTTGGCGCTTTTGGGGAAAACAATGAAAATATGTTTAAATACATTTAAAATATAAAATGAAAAATAAAAACAACCAACCCATCTTTACCTGTTCACCCTCAAGACCCATCACTTTGGGTATAGAAGGGCCACAGATATCAACATCCAACACTGCAATCTGAAATTCATAGAAAATATGAATTCATAGAAAACATTGTTAATGTTGTTTTGTTTTTAGTGTTGTTTTTCCTGTAAAAAAAATCCTGAAGGGGTTGATCTACAAGAGAATGTTGATGAGAATGAACACTGCCCTGAACAAATTTTCTCTATCACTTCCTCTAAATGTTCCAAAATCTATAAGCTTCAAACCATGCAGATTTCTATCAAGCACATCATTAAGAAGAAGTGGTACATCCATAGCTGTTTGTTTTCTTCCCACCGCCCTTTAAATCTTATGGATTTCTCCCTGTAGAATTATGTAGAAGTAAAGTTTTTGTCATGAGAAACAGTTTAATTTCACCTTAGGGGAAATATGAAAATTATGCATTCAAATGAAAGACTCAAGAAAGAAGATCATTGTACTTCTCTGAAACAAATCAAGACCTGAAAAAAATTCAAGCTTGAATGGGATTCAAATCATAAATTAAACTAAAGGGGCAAAACAAATACCACTGCAGCACTCTCAATGAAAAATTGGGCACTGTGCTTCTATAATCAACTTTCATAAGTCATAATTACAGTACTTGACTGCCATGATCTTTCCTCTACTACAAAGAATTGTACCTGTTTGCTTTCATCAGCAGCCAGACCATGAGCCAGGTGGGCTGTAAAGGTACTTTTCCCAACTCCACCTTTACCAGATAGCACCAAGATCTTGTGCTTGACAGTTGTCATTCTTTCCTTTACTTCCTCCACAGCTAAAGCAAGGATATAATTTCTTTATTTAGTGAATTGAAAATCATTAAAAGGAGGTTTTATGCCTACAGCAATTTGTTAAAAGTTGTCTATCATAACTGCTTTTCACGACAAGAACATTTATAAAAGGTGCAGTATTCTTGTGGCAAATTCAAATTGCCCCCTCCTGAATCAGGAAAGTTATCATTCATAAAAATATATCATTCTCTTTGGTTCCTAAACATTCCAATAAGATGTGCTTATGAACTGTCTCCTTCAACAACAACTAGATAGGGGACTACCTAATTTTAAGTAGGGATTGTCAAAATAATCCTTTGTTGAAAAATCCTCCCTAAAGCCCCTTCACAGAAGTAGCTCATTCTCTAACAGGATACAATTAACAATACAAAACACATATAGCAAAATGTTACATTAGATTAGAATAACAAATCTGATTCCTTGATAGCAAATACAAAGATACCCAAAGGATATCACCTTGAACATAGTGGGGAGTGAAAATTGGAAAATGAAGGGCTTATCTGAGGTACGTCAGGTCAGTAAGATTCATTGAGGCTCTGTGTGTGTTTGGCCGACGTTATGTACCCAGGGAATTCTTTCCCATAAAGAAACACAGAGGCAACCCATGACGACGTTTGTCTACGGGGAATGACGGTGCATATTTTTATTTTTCGTCTCTTGTTGGTATCGCAGTGAGGTTTTGAAGGAATAAGAGAACTTTTTTCATAAAGTCATGACGATCCGTCGGGGAAAATTTTCTGTCCCATTGGGCGTAAGAAAAGTAATGTAAAGGTCAACCTCGATCTGTGGGAAACACAACATACGCACGTAATCATGTTAATAATGACAATGCACAATTTTCAGTTTTTCATTTCTCCACTTGAAATGGGGAAGAAGGAAATTTTCATTACAGCAGTATGTAATATGAGTTTTATGTTGCTGCGAAATGCAATCAGATTACCTGGATCTGGTCCCAAAGGTTTGGAGGAGGAACAAATATTCTGGTTTGGACATCCTTGACAAGCAGTCCCCTTCCCCGCCTGCTCACTACCCGTTCCTGGGCAGTCTGTTAAGATAGAGGAAAAATAAATTAAGTCAGATAAAAAAAATCTCAATGGTCAATTTTTCAGATCGCGCAGAGAAAATGGAAAAATACACAAAATCTTACGTTCAGGAGCATTCTCCGGAACGTCCGCCATATTGTATGTCCCAGCGAGCCTGCGATTAAAAGGTACATCAGGCGCATGCTCTTCTAACAGCAAAGAAACATGGCGGAAGAAGGCTCGGGTAATTTTTTGTTAAGCATTCCGCCTTATTTAAATGAAATTAATGGCTTGAATTTAATTTTTATCTATTTGAATTATCGGCTTATTAAAAAAGTAGCATTTTATTTTAGCGGTGGATGCAGAGGATAAGTTGGAGACAGAACCGGACCCTTGTCGGTCCAAATGTTGTCCTGAAACTTTTGTCGAAAAAGAAACTGAAAATACGAATGAAAAGTCCAAGGAGGATTTTAGCGTCGAGGAGAAAGAAAAAGACACGACAGAAGAAGAGCACGCTTCGTCCAGTAGGGAAACTGCGAGTTTTCGTGTTGTTTGGAACAAGAAAAACTATGAGGTCACTTTTCCTGTGGATGAAACAGTTGATAGTCTCAAACAACACATAGAGAAGCTCACAGGTTTGGAAAGGAAACGATTGATCAGTTTTGCTCTAAAGAGTTGTGAATCTGCACACGATAACAAGTGTAAATATAGAATCAGGCAACTCTCAGTCCTTGCCATGCACTTTACAGTTTGGTTAGTCATGTCAAGTCACCTAGGTCAAGACTAAATAATAAAAATACTGAACCGCTTGACAAAAATTATCACTTGAAAGACACGATTTAAAAACACATCCCAAAATAAGTTTTAATGGTATGTGCTATGATTCCTACCCCTGTGTCCAGAAGTCAGCACATTTTTTAAAAAATAGCTTGCTGGAGATAAATATTTACCCTCTCAGAAGAATAAAACTTTGGGGTCAAGGAGCACACACCACTTTCTTGTTCATGTTTCTTAAGGAGGAGGGCTCAAAGCCCTAAAACTGGTTCCATCTCCTCACGCAGGGAAAAAGCCACAATTGTGAGGAGGCAGTTAGTTTCTAAAGAGACCAATTTGTTGCACTGGTGAGCGAGTGAAACAATTAGTTGGTGTCCAAAGAGGGGCAAATGATTAAAACCTTCAATGCACAGGGCAGTTTTTCTACCTCTCTCAACTATTACCTATATCCAAAGAAGAGCTTGAAGGAGCTAATCTTACCAATAGATAGGGATGCTAGTTGTTAGTATGGAAATCCAAAATTCAATCTCTCTACCTTCTGTTTCTTTTCTTTAGACCCATTGGTAGTTTGTTGTTTGGCTGTGTTATATGAATGAGGTTTAACTTTATGAATCAATGTGTTTTTGTGTCTCTCAATCACAGGTTTACCAGTTTCAATGCAAAAGCTGATGTACAAAGGTAATGGAGATCAAGAAAAAGTGTCTTGATTGGTATATGAGTTTCTAATTCTCTTCTACAGTTACCAACCTATCTCTTATAAATTAGTAAGGAGAAATTTGTTTTGTATCAATGTTTTGTATGTTTTCATCACCCAAGTTTAGGATAATCTCGTTAACTGGTTAATAAAACACATGCCAATGATTCCTGAGAGTTAATAGGTCAACCAAGTACACCTTAACTTCGGAATGCATTTTCTCTACACTTTTCTCCAAACATTTCCTAAGGTGCTAGCAAGGAGAATTTGATTGACAAAAATCTAGAGACAGACACAAAGTATTCCCTACCAAGATTAAAATTATATTTTATTTGTTTTTTTACCTTCAGGGCTAGTTAAGGATGGAGGCAAAACATTACGAGAACTTAATGTTTCTAATGGAGTGAAGATGATGGTTGTTGGCTCAACCATTAATGATGTCATGAAAGTGACACCCCCTCCTCCAGGAGCATTAAAAGATGAAAAATCAGGCACCTCAGGTGGGGTGGGGTGACATGAGACATGTTTGCAATATTTGTCTATCCTCAAGACTTTTATATTTGAAAGTACATCTAAAAACAGACACAACAGATGCAAAAATGTTCTAAGATGATTTTACTTTTTTTTCCTAATAGGTTCTTCAAAGGAACCACTTAGTAAACAAAAGGTGAAAAACAGTAAAATATCATTGATTTCCTTTTAGTGGATGAAAAATTCCTATTCCATCTTTTCTTCATGAAATATTCAATCATTCCTCTGTTTGATTTGCTTTTTCAGGACTCAGAGGCACTAAGAAGTGATTTCATTTTTTTTTCAGATGCATAAAAAAGTTTTAGACAAAGGAAAACCAGATGACGTCATGCCTGGATTTAAAAATAAAAAAGTATAGTTTTTCCAAGGAATGATATGTTGAACAATGGTTTGAGTTTGTTGGTAGGGTTATCATATTTCCTCAAAGAAGCACCCTCCCACAAATAAGCCCCCACCCACTTCACTTTCTTAAATACCAGGGATACATGTTCAAGGAAACCTGTTTCTAGTGCCACTTTATTTACACCTTTTTAAGCTTCAACTACAGCGGCATCAGTACAGGTGGATAATAAGCTCCCCCCTTAATTCAGTGCCCTCCTTCCAATAAGCAACCCTCCGTTTAGCAAAAATTTTGGAAAAGCACCCGGGCACTAAATCTTGGAAATATGGTGATTGGGTTTTTTTATTCTGGGCAAGGATTAGAGCCATCGTGTCTTAGAGCTAGAGGACAATATATGGTCAAATATAGTGAAAGAGCTCATTTAAATAATTTTCCTATTCAACTTGAAGCTTTGAAGGTTATGGTTATAAGATATGTACTTTACTCATAGGAAAAGTTACCCAATGTTCCAATTGCTGGGATGTATAACAAATATGGAGGAAAAGTTAGATTAACGTTCAAGCTTGAATTGGATCAAGTTTGGATCGGAACAAAGGGTACGTTACTTTTACATGTATTAGCTTTATGAATGTTGACAAGATATTCAAAAGCTCACAAACGGATTTTTTATATTTTCACCATGAGATCAATATTAGAAATGTGGTATTTTAGTGATGTTTTTTGTCTCTCTTTCAGAACGAACAGAAAAGGTACCGATGGGATCAATAAAAAATGTAGTATCAGAACCAATCGAGGGTCATGACGAATATCATATGTTGGTAAGACATCTTCACGCGAGAAAATTACTTGATCGCTTACCTCACGCTGTGCAGTGAGGTAGCTCACTGAGAAATTTAATTTAATATGACCCACTACTAACATTTTCTCGCGTGTGCGCGCTCTCGCATGCGAATGCGATATATGAGAATTAAGGAAATGATCCCCTTCGTGAGCAGCCTTGATTGTTACACAATTTCTCCTTGTTTGTTCTAAAGAAATGTACAGAGAAGAGTATCGGGAATATTGAAACTGATGCTAGGCTGTAAAGGGTTATTAATGGGGAACATGGCAGAAGATTTTGAGTTTCATGGTAAATGAGATCGCTCCCCTGAACGAACGACCAATCGACTCCAGTTAAGAGAACAACGTCCTTAGCGCCGCGGGGATTTTCCTAGCAAATAGTTTCAGTGTTGAGTTATTTGCGTTTCGTTTTAGGCCATTCAGCTTGGACCAACGGAGGCATCTCGATACTGGATCTACTGGGTTCCTGCACAATACGTGGACGCCATTAAAGACACTATTCTCGGCAAATGGCAGCCATTCTAGACAGTCATAAACACAGTGTCGCTACTGTGGTGTCAGCTTAAATACTGCATCATTCAAGGGTTCAGTGTCAAACAGACTGGAGAGACGTTCAAAGCTGGCCCAAACATGATGTCGTTGGATTAAGTTGAAATACTTTTTTTTGCAGCTCAAGATGGTATTAAACATTTCTGCGTACTTTTGCTGCTCTAACGACGGGAACCTATTGACTTCGATTCGATCTTCTTTTTGCGGTACCCGAGATGCAATTTTTTTAATCTTCAACCTTAACCCTTTAATTCCCAAAAGTGATTAACATGTAACTTCTCACTATTATTTCAATGCATTATCCAATTAACGTTAAATTGTCGTAACCAATTTATCAGGAAATGTGTAGCAGATAGAGGGGAGAATTAACAATCAGATCTTGGGAGTTAAAGGTGTTCTGGAATTGAGAGTGATTATGTGATTTCTAATTCTTCTTTGAAGTAAATTCTCCATTTTTTCCCCCACCGTTTCGGGTATTGCCAAGCGTGATTGTGATGTGCCAAATGGATTACGAAGCGTTCACTGACATGAAGAAAATTGAATTACAGCGAAGGTCACTTTGATCTTTCTGTCAGATGACAGTTTAAAACTGTGAAGGGTTTGTACTGCTGAGGTAATTACCCTGGCTATTTTCAGCTTCTATTTCAGCCTTGGGAATCTGTGCTTGTTCCCCTCCTCCACTCCCGCAAGTTTGTTCCATGTGATCAGTAACTCATTTTTCTTGAGAGAGGCTAGGACTGATGTTGGCTGAACGCCTCTGGTTGATAAGTGGTTATCCTGAAAATTGATACAAAAATCTGAAATTTTCCATCTTAGAAACCTTTATTTTAAATGTAGAGCAGCATCAGGAAGCCGAAATGAAGCCAAGATCAGTTCTTCGTCATTGTTTGCCGTGGTAATGTTTCCTTTTTAGCGCTGAGCTGAAGAGCTTCAAGAAAATTAGATTAAAGATCTATTTAAATTAAAATATTTTATCAGAAAAGGAGTCATATTCTTTGTTAAAACGTCTGTAACCTCGCCCCCAGGTAGTCTAATTAGCCATTCTCTGAAATTTCACAAAACGTTCCTGTCCATGACTTCCTAGGAATGGTTGCAAAGCTGATTAGCTCTTAAGTCTGTTCCAGGCTTTCAATTACTGGAACAAACCGCGGTAATAAACGATGCGATGGGGTTGGGACCCATCCGAAGCCCCTCTCGCTTTTTCACTTCGTCTTACTAAGTAAACACCTTGAACAAGCTACTAGCCCTTTGGGGTCTTCCTTCAGAAGTACACCTAAGACACCATATTATTTCTATCTCGGTATAACGAAAATTTTGGCGCCCATATCGTTTTGAGATTCCAGCGTGACATGGGCGTTCGAAAAATTATCAAGGAATGTGCTAAAAAATAGTGCCTGTATATGATTTTCATATATCTACAATCATTATTCATCACTTGAATGGTTTATTAGGACCCAACATATTGACCAGCTCCCAGTTAGCTTGTTAGCTCAGTTGGTAGAGCGCTGCACCGGTATCGCAAAGGTCATGGGTTTAAATCCCATACGAGCCTGAATTTTTCTCAAGTATTATTTCAACTACTAGCTCAGTATTGTTCATGGCTGCGAGGATCTCTTGTATTCGAATGAAGGCTACTGTTTAAAACATAGGCATGCTATGCATGCAAGAGTTTTTTGGGGGGGGTGGGTGGATTACTTAAAACATTGTAAGTGATGTCTACATTCTTACAAAAGGAAAGAAGAGTATTAACGCGGAAAAGAAGGAAAATGTCGAATTAACTCACACACTGGTATTTTGTGGTAGACTGTGTGTGGTGCGAATAACTGTAACAAAAATGAACTGTATTCGTGCCACGGATACCTGTTAGTAAAAAATGCAGACCGGATACAAAATAGGTACAACATGGAGACTGCAGAGTGACAGCCTTCGTAGAGTCTTCTCACTTTGCGCACGATTTGACTGGTGTGATGTCTGCATAGACTTTACCAACGTAATAAAAAAAGATGTATATGTAGATGTAAATGAGATGTCACTATTAAATAATTAACACGCGCAACATTCGAGAAACAATCGACAGCTTTGCACGTGGTCCGTATTATCATCTTTTTAAGCGATATGTGTTTATTTTGTTGACAAAAATGCGGACCGACACCAAAACTGTTCCTTAAACTTAACATATTTTCGACGTTAGTAGATCACATCATTCTAAATTACCCCCGTAAATCATTCATTCCAGATAACAGAATCAAATAAACATGCTAAAGATGGTATCTGAATTCGTCCTTGGCCAAACACAATCGACTCCACAAGATCACTTTCTCTAGGCATCGAAAACATACACAAAATCATCCATAGTTAGTTTTAATCAGACATTCATCCAGAGATAGCACCGAGAAAACCAATCCAGAAAAATATAATCGGCACAGTCAACAAATCATGAATCTCAGTTGCAACACAGCTCGCCGTTAAAGAATTTCTCAAATCAAAATGTTTGGTGCAATTCATCAACACCTCAAGCAATATTTGATTCAAAAGTTTTTCCACTAACTCTCGTCATGGAGGTTGTGATTGGTTGATTCAAACTACAACTTTGAATGTGATTGACAGCTTTCCGACAACAAACTGTCTGATAACAACTTAGCAAGTGATTTAGTGGAAAATAGGAATTTTTTAAAACAATCACAATCAAGGTAATTGTAATTTTAATGATTAAGTATATAATACTTTCATCAAATCATTAGTAGTTGTAGTTGACAGGAATCCAATGTATGAGAAAGAACTATTTTTTCCCTCTGGTATTTTTTATTGACATTTATTTATTGATAATATTGACATAAAAATGTAATATGTGCCGGAATTCAAATAGAATCCATAGACGTAAAAAAAAAACGCCGTTATTTGTATTCCGGTGTATACGGTTAATTGCGTCAACCCCGTAAGCAAGATTACGCGCTGCCATGCATTTATTTTTTTCAAGGTTCAACTTTCCCTCCACTTGCTTTTTCGTCTTTTCACTAACATGTAATTGGAGCTGCCGAGCTAAGCGCGAGTTGACAACATGATTGTATGAATGGGTTAAATTTTCCTTAGTAGGAAGAAAGCAAGTACAATGCAGGAAAGATTCTACAGCGTCCAAAAGGCATGTTTCTATGTTTGTCCAGGAGCCCAGGCTAATGAAGGAGTTGCTTTCCTTCAAGAAATCCATGGTACGTTTCCTTTTCAATGGCGAAGGACTGGACGTACATTTGGTGGACCTTTTTTTTTTGACATCTTTCTTGCCCGCCGTTCTTTTGCCAAACGAGTTCCCGCAGCCCTTGCATTTACATTTTTCCGCGGAGCACGAACTACCAGAAGTATAGCAAGGGCATTTGGATCGTCGTTGGTCTGGCACATCGGTGCCATCCTCCACACCTACAGCCATTGGGTGTACCATTATTGTTACGGGCGTTATTTTTGCAGTTAAAGCATCTGCATCTTTTGGAGCATTGCCGCCTTTGACGAACACATGGACAGCGCCCTATTGCATCAGGGATACAGAATCCATGCATCCTTGATTTTGCATGTCGTCCACAATGACAAATCAAACTTTCATTTGGCGGCAGCTCTTTGTTATCCTTGACCTCAGCTAAATGCATGCAAATAAGACACGACAAAAGTTTCCGTTAGAAACCCATGCTAAGCCCGTCATGGTAACTAACAAAACCAGCTAGGGACGTTATGAAAGCTAATCGTGATTTCAATTTTGCAATAAATTTACTTGCCTTATGTCAGCTCTCATATAAAGTGTGTGTGTGTGTGTGTGGGTATTGACGAGGCATATATTTTATTTGAAGTTGAACGTATGATAAATAGGCAAATAGAGGGAATTATAGTGTCAAACTAAAATAATCCCGACAAATGTAGTCTGGTATATTACATTAGACTATTTCTCATAAACCGTCTATCGCAACAAACTGATATAAATTGCAAGGGAACCTAGCAAGGACGACTCAACCACCAGGATTCAATTATAACATTTCGTCAGTCGGCTTACATACCTGAAGTACAGATTTGGTTGGTAGCGTCATAATGGCCAGCACCATAATAGTGGAAAGCGATGTATATGGGCGTGGTACTCAATGGACTATCAGGCACAAATGGAACGACAGGTGTAGAGCGACTTGAGGTAATGATGATAATCGAAACTTTAAGGACGTTACAACAGACTTTCATCACCAAGTCTCCAATTTCACGATCAAACACACCTTTCATTCTAAACTCACTAGCTCTTTCTGTAAACGTGGTTGTCGATACCGCTACGTCCTCCCCTCTAATAAATTCTTCAACAAAAAGCTGTCGTAGGGTAAATGTATCCTCGTCTTCAGAACCGGCCATCAAATTTAGCGACCGAAGGTGATCTTCTAGTCCTTTGGTTTTGTCAAAATCCATTTTAAGTAGCTGCCTTATTATGCTTCGGAATGCGCAATCCCCGTCTTTAGATACGCTTTCAATCTCTAGTCCAAATCCGGCTAGGTGCCTTTTAAGATCCTCAGTGTGGGTGCTTATATTGGGATCATTACTTTCGGTAGTATCATCTAAATGAAGAAGATTGGAAAATTTCAACAAGTACAACAGACTGCTAGAGTCAAATGCTCTATTACAACTTTGTGCATCAACATTGCTTATAATTTCTTGGATGCTGATCGCCACATTTATTATGTTCTACAGTTATTGTTTCGTTATCACCCTGGATTCATCTGAATACCCTTAGTCATAGCTTCAATGTGAACTACCAGTCGTGAACGATGGATGAGAACTGTCATTGTGTTGCAAATTGTCTGTGCTATTTACCTTTGAGGGCGAACGTAGTCTGAGCTAACGTTTACAGTTATTACGTTAACGTGCTATTACGTTAACGTGCTATTACGTTAACCCACGTCTACCTTAAGTTAACCATGTTCTACCACGTTAACCCACATCTACCCTTAGGTTAGCCATGTTCTACCACGTTAACCCACATCTACCTTAGGTTAGCCATGTTCTACCACGTTAACCCACATCTACCTTAGGTTAGCCATGTTCTACCACGTTAACCCACATCTACCTTAGGTTAGCCATGTTCTACCACGTTAACCCACATCTACCTGGCTAAGGGTAGCTATGTAAGGTACATGGCTAACCTAAGGTATATGTGGGTTAACGTGGTAGAACATAGCTAACCTAAGGTAGATGTGGGTTAACGTGGTAGAACATGGCTAACCTAAGGTAGATGTGGGTTAACGTGGTAGAACATAGCTAGCCAAGTGGCTTTCAGGAAAAACAAAATAATTTCACTCCCTTCTCAATGAAAATAAGTGCGCAATTAAATTCATTTCTTAGGTAATTTAATGCACTTTACCAATGCATATAAATATTCAATTTTACAAAATTTAAGGAAACAATTGCAGAATATACCTTGATGTTCATAACACACGAGACTTAACAGACAATAAAAAAATTGTATCTCAGGAAAACTCACTTCTCCACATGGTTTAACTTAATTTAAACAATGACTCAATGTTGTTGTGCAGTGAAGTAATAATAGGCTCTGTATGGAATTTTTTTTTCCTTTTTTCAATGAGTAACTCTGGTCAAAAAAAAAAAGGAAATATCTTAAATGTGAAATAAAGAAAAACTTACTTTGGTCTAGCTCCTAATGATTGTAGATAAATCGCCGATAGCGGATCGTACGTGAATAGCAGCAGACAAAATTAGTGGCGTCGACAGCAACTTAAAGCGATGAAATATGAAATATAATATCTGGTACATGTGCTTAAATAAAACTGATTGAAATAAAAAACTTATTAAGTAATAATCATTAACCAACGAAGAAAAAAATAGAGCGGAACAAACCTAACAGAAAAGTACACAAGTAACGCGTTTCGAAACTAACATTCAATTCTACAGAAAGTTTTGGCTGCTTTACTTAATTAATTCCAAACTTTATCATTTTGCAGTTTACTTTTCCCCTTAACTTTCTATCTCTCCAATAAAAAATCACCTGTGAAAGAAATGTTGTACTTTTTGCCATCAACCCATATTCCATGTTTTTTGATGACATCTCTCTGATTGTTGAGATTCTCAAGTACCTGCTTTAAAATTGACCTAATTAAAAAAAAGGAGAAAAAAAATTAAAGCGAACACTTGCAAAAGCACCTTCATTAATGCAATCCCACTTCTCTGACTATTCTAGTATTTACAGTAAAAATGATGGCAATAATGTAAGTACACTGAGATCTTATTTACCTATGTTTATTTTGAGGAGCCTTTAAAATTATTCAAAGTCTTCTCTACAAAACCAGTAACATGCACTATTGTCTGCATGCACAGACATTTTCATTTTTGTCAATGATTAGAAATGATCATTGTAATATTAGTTATTACAATTTTTGTTCACTGATTATTTGACCTGACTTACTTAAATCACCACTTACCTTTTCTCTTTACAGTTCCCAATTGCAAGGGGGTAAATAAACAGTGCGCTCTCAGAGCTTTTGTTTTTAAAATCAATAGGTGCCAGGCCTATAGCTGCTTGGTCTTTACCTGAAATAAACCAATACAAAGACACCTCAGACATAGTTTGATGCTACTCTGGTTTGCAGATTTAATGAATGTAACTGAAGAAGTTACAATTCATAGACCCAACGTTTCGACACTTCCTTCCCCTAATGAAGGCACTAGACAGGAGTATAATTTCAGGAGTATAATATATAATTTCAAGCCCTCATATACTCTTCTCACTTTGCACGCGAGTTGGTTGGTGTGATGTCTGTACAGATTTTACCAACGTAATAAAAGTAGATGTAGATGTAAATGAGATGTTACTGTTGAATATTTAACACGCGTAACATTCAAAAAACAATTGACAGCTTTGCACGTGGTCCGTATTATCATCTTTTTAAGCGGTAGGTGTTAATTTTGTTGACAAAAATGCGGACCGACACCAAAACTGTTCCTTCGACTTAATATATTTTCGACGTTAGTAGATCACATCATATTAACTTACCTCCTTAAATCATTCATTCCAGATAACAAAATCAAATAAACATGCTAACGATGGTATCTGAATTCGTCATTGGCCAAACACAAACGACTCCACATAAAAAGTTGCGCCAGCAAAAAAAAAAGTCGCGCCAGAGAAAAAAGTCGCGCCAGAGGTAAGAAAGTGTGCGCCGGAATGAAAAAAGGATGCATCCCCAATATGATGCTGTACGCACACGTGTGTGGCACTTACAGGGCTCCGTTGGCTCTGCCTTCTACTAAATAGGAGGCAGTAGCCACCAATAAGAACTCCATTATCGCTCATTAGCCTGTAGACCAATTTTCAACGGAGATAATTTTTTTAATTGAGCGCCATTAGTAGTACAGTAAAAACCCGCGTATAAGAACCTAGTGATTTAAGAACCTACAGGCTGAAATTTTGCATTTTAATACCCAAATATATAAGAACCTATTCAGCCTGACAAAGAAAAATAGGTTCTTATATATAAAAAAAAAAAACACTCCAGATTTGATGTTCAAATTCTGGATTTTAGTTGTGAAAATTTTTGTAGTGTACTGCTTTTTAGTCTTACCAAAAATATTAAAACTTTAGTTACAAATACAGTCTCAAATACTGTACAGTACATTTAAAAATCAAAACAGTTTTTTTAAATACAGAATATAAAAAAATACAGGACTTTTCTCTTGGACCTTGATTTTGTAAGTGCCCTGTAAATATGGTCAGGCCCATGATACAGGACCTGTTTCGACAACAAGGCTTGACATTTTTGTAAATGCTTTACAATTATAGCGTCTTAGTACTATTGCAGTTCCCCGAATGCTATCACTATAATAACCTGATCACTATAGAACCTGATCAGCCTGTTATTAGAAAAAATACCCCAAAATATAAGAAACTGTTCAACCTGAACTCAAAATTCTAGGTTCTTATACGCGGGTTTTTACTGTAATGCATTCCACTGCCTTTTCTTCTTGTGATCTGCGGCATAATAAAGTTAATAAAACCGCCTTGTCAACCACGTCAGATGCAAAGCTTTCATGAATTTCATGAAGGCTCGTCCTTAGTCCTATGTTTGTAAACAAGTTCAATTTCATAAATGGAATTTACATATTAAGAAAGAAATAGAAATTTGCAAATATTATAAAGATACTGAAATCCGGTAACGTTATTGTTAGGACATTCTGTGTTTAATTTCACGGTGCTGCCACGTCTGCAGTGGTCAGCGGCTATTCAAATTCCAAAATGGCGGACATGGTGAGTGGCTTATAGCACTACTTGTTCCATTAATATTTGCTCGCTGTTTTGTGGATTCATTTGTTCTTCTCTCTCTCTGATATACCTCTGAATATTTCCAGGATCACTTAGACGCCACTGAGGATGTGGCATTAAATTTTGGAGACGAGGATGAAATTTTAAATAGAAAAAAGAAATTCAGGTTTGTTGATATGAGCCCACGTTTACTTTTTACATTTAATTCTACGAGTTAGGAGATTGAACCCGACAATATTGTCAAAGGAAGATTTAGGAACGTTTCCCTTTATTTGAATCCAATCAGTCTTTTACGAGCTAAATACAAGCCAGAAAAACCGTGTTCAATTAATGCGAATCTTGGAAACCACGGTGCAGCCTCGCCTGTTCCATTAACTCTTTACACCCTAACATCAGGATGCATATTCTCCTTGATCTTCCCATACATTTCATTTGGTACTTGAAAGTTGGTGGTTGGTGATCATTTCCTTTATTCTCATGATCTCAATAAAGGATTCATCAGTATCGCTGTAAGGAGAAATTAGACAAGGGTCACTCTTAAGGTTTAAAGGGTTAACTCTCTAACTCCCAAAATCTGATTAGTGATTTTCTCTTCTAACTTCTGAACATTTTCTTGTAACAAGTAAGGAGAGTCTGGGGCAAGATTTCTGTACAACCCTATACTTCATTAAGTATGCAAGCAGTTCCTTGATGAAGGAAAAGGGCAGCAAAAACAATAGATTACCTGGTGTTATATCAAGTTAATATTCTTTGGGTGATAAGTTTTTTCTCCTTTTTACAAGTATTTGACTAATCTGTTACTGTTTAAACATGAATCTTAATATTGTTTTTAATATTTTGTATCCTGTTCAGAAAACCTTTGGTTACCATCTTCCATCTTCTATTTCGAGTGGCAGCAATCATTGCTTACCTTCTGTGTGGTTGGTTCAGTGATAGTTTCATAACAAACTTTGTTATCATAGTTCTGCTTTTATCATTTGACTTCTGGACTGTCAAGAATGTCACAGGACGGTTATTAGTGGGACTTAGATGGTGGAACTACGTGGATGAGGATGGGAACAGCCATTGGGTGTTTGAGTCCAGAAAGGTTTTGTATGGTTTAGCCCTTTAACTCCCAAGATCTGATTGAAAATTGTCTCCTCTAGCTATTAGGTTAGGGGTTCGTTATAAATTAGTTACAAGGATTTGGTTGTAGATCGAGATAACAACTTCTACTTGATAAATGTGAATATTCTCACAACCTGTATGCTGGTTGCTGTATGCTATAGGGAGAAGTAACATGTTCATCACCTCTGGGAGTTAAAGGGTATAAATTCAGTGTAGATGCTTGGTAAACATAATAGGCTGCACAGAACAGTTTGATGCAGTAAACATGTGAAGAACTAAGTTATAAACACAATCAGCAAAGTTGCTAGTTGATCCAGTTATATAATTGATTTATCACAATTAAAATTTGAAAAGCAGGAACATCTGAGACATCCTATGGACAAAAGAACTAATGAACAGGGGATAAATACCAACATGTGCATGATTATGAGAGGAACAAAACAAAATAATATTGTTATAAAGGATTTGGTTTTTAGGTCACTTTGATTTTGCTCATTCATAACCCTTCAACTCCCACAAGTGACCAAGATAGAATTTCTCTCTACAATGTCAATACAACATCAAGTAGAAGAGTAATGAGGATAAAGAAAAATATCAATTATGGGGTTTCTGGTTGATCCAATTCCAAATTCCCAAAACTAACTTACAAGATTTGTATGGCAGACAGTAAGGAGAATCTCTGATGAGATCTTGGGATTGAAAGGGTCAAGGTTACTTTGTTTCTGTCTTTCAATAGGGTCACTTTATTCTTTTTTTCGTTTTCATCAACATCAGAATTAAATGTCAATCTTATGTCTCAGTTACCATTTCTTTTTCAATTATTAAATGTAGAGTGACAAGCAGGTGACCACAGCTGAATCACGTGTCTTCTGGCTTGGTTTGGTCATTTGTCCCCTTATTTGGACATTCTTTCTTGTGGCTGCACTGTTTTCACTGAAATTTAAGTGGCTGGTGAGCAGACTATTGATGTCTTGTAGACAATACTGATATTTAGATACTATATTGGGCTATAAACCTTAGTTTACACCAATTTGGGAGAATTGAGAATGGAAAGGTTGGATACCAACATAAGTCCAAACTTAAAGCTTTGCTACTTGTGCTGGTATTTAGCTGAACAAGCGCAACAGCAAAAGTTATGGCAGGGCTAGAGATTGTAACTGATACAGGCACCCATTTGAGTGTAATATTTTCTTCCTGGTGACTCAAAATTCTGGTCTAGTTGCCAACTTGGCAAGTTCAAAAGTACATCTAGTGCATGATTTACAAACTTTCCCCATGTTCTTTCAACATCCTGTGTGGGTTATTACATTGGTGAACCACTGACACACCATTTTGTTATGATTCCATAACTATCAGGAAAAGTAACACACTGTGATTCCTTCCTCAGCTTGTTGTTGCAGTTGGGCTCTCTCTAAATGCTGCAAACCTGATTGGTTATGTGCGCTGTAAGAAAGATGCTGGGAAGAATATCAAGAGTTTTGCAGGAAATTTCCTGGGAAGACAGCTCCTTAATCAGGTAATTTTTTGACTTATATAGTTTGGAAATTAATGATCTAGACATCTGAAGTAAAAAATCAGAGTTTTGTTTAGCCATCTGCTCCTTTTACAGAAACATTTGAATGAAAATTAAGTGCCATTAAATTAATAAAAGACCATAAATTATGGATTAAAGGAATTTACCAGTCTCTGTTAAAGTGGTAATTAGTAAATGGAGATTTGTTGAAAAAAATGAATTCATCAAAAACGGAAGGTAATTTGTTACTTTACATATTGTGAGACAGCTTGAGAATTTTTTTAACACAATTACAAGCATTAAAACCAAGTTGGAAATTGAAATTTGACATGTTGGCTTTTTGTGTATTAAAAAAAAGAGAGAGGGAGGGAGGGACAAAAGAAAAACTCTTTGTACAAAACATTCACTTTCTCTAACCCTGCCTGTGTCTTCCATTGATGATTATAAGATTGCAAAACTAATTGGTCCTTAAAGTAATAAATTAACTGAGGGTAAGATATAAAAATTACTGTGTAGAATGAAGAGGAACACTTAGTTAGCCTTAGGAGAAATCTTAAACTGTATCACGATAATGATAATTATTGATCCTTTTGATTCCTGTTTTCTTCAACTTTCTCAATTCTTTGTGGCATGGCTGTCTCTCATCTACCAGGTACAGGTAAACCCTCCTCGTAATCGACTTCCTGGAAGATTTCTCATACAAAATCCTACTAGTCCTGTTCCTCGACTATTGTAAGTCTTCTCATTTCTTCTTGTTTCCCTCAGGGTCTTTTATTCTGTTTAGTATCTGTATTTGCTGTTGTCATCTGGCTCTATCAGTCACAATCTGTTGCCAATTGAAATCAAATTATCAAAGCAGTAAAGTAAACAAACACAAGGTCTTAACTGCATTGGGGTTTGAAACATTGTTAAGCTCTCCTCCCCATCCTGTCCAAAGCTACATCCATTAACTAACTTTGTTTTTATTACAAACATGGTTAATTCCATTTGAATGCGTGGATTTGAATAAATATTAATTTAAACTAAAGTTCTAAAAATAGGGATGTATGTATGATACAAGGCAAAAAAAAATTTTCACAAGGCAGGGTTGGTATTAGGAAAAAAAATCTAAACAGTTAAAAGTAAATAGCAATGTAAAAAGTTGTTATTAAACTTAGACTTTGCATGAATGATCTTCACATACAATGGAATATACATTCTGTACCTTGTTAAATCCTTCATTTTAAAAAATGTCTATTAATTCTGCTGTCTCCTTCTTCCATGGTTTTCTGTTGTGTATATTAAGTTTTGTTTACCACCAGCTTTAACTGGACTTGAAATCCAACTGAAGGAAGGGTGGTAAATTTAGTAGGATGTGGAACTTGTAATGCACTGGTTACTGGTTCAATCGCTACTCCTTGCGATGGATCTGCTCCACAATGCTGCAAGTGAAGTCCTTGGCTCTGCTCTGCAAAAAGCTAATTGTCTCCCTTCTGTCAATTGGGAATTTAAAACTTTTATTCTTTTTTTCCTTTTAATGTTTGATTTCTGTTTGTTTCCATAAACCCTGAAAATCCTTATTGGTGGAGTAGGGAAACAAGGAGTATCTTTCTTTTGTTGAATGCTGACAATAGCAGTTTGTTAAGAACTTGCACAACCTTTTTTCTTTCTTTCTTTTGTTGTTGTTTTTTTTATGAAAATTTCCTATTTTTCTCAGTCGTAAGTTTGCCTCATGTAAATGCCTTGGGTAAAACTGCTGATTTTGAAGGAAATGATGAGGCCCTGCTGTTTGATACAATTTCTTATGAATACCAGGTTTACCATGCCAAGTTTGAATTAATGTTTGGGGCTGTTTTAATGAAGTAGTGATCAGATTAATCTTTACATTTTATTTTTTTTTTTTTTTTTCATTCCATAGGCCATGGGCACAACAGACACCCAGTAGCAGCCGAGAAGTTCCAGTTTTGTAGTTGATAATACTCATTCCTAGCCAGTGTAGAGGGGGGGGGGGGGGGATGGAGATGAGCAAACTGGTCTATGAGCATCACAGGATATACAGTTGAATTTTGTTTTTGAAAAAGAAGACGACTTGTCTGATATGGTTCCAGCGTTTATGACCCTTGAAATAGGGGTGAACTTTACTAAGTTGTAATTATTCTACTGTTAAGAAATGTTATTTAATAAGCTTTTCAACTCCCAAGAATGACTAGTATCTAATTTCTCCTTACAATATCACCCCTGAATCACACATGAAGGTCACAAAAATTGAGGAAATGATCACCAACTCAAGAAACTGTTTATTAAACAAATTCTCCTTGGCAGCACCTAAGGAAAGTTGTACAGAACAATATAGAGAACATGCATACTGATGGTAGGGTGTAAAGTGTTAAGTTAAAAAAACAAACAAACAAAAAAAAACATTTACTTGCCATAGGTATTGATAAATGTACATTTTTGTTAGATATATTTTGGAAAATCAAGGAGGATCAAGAATCAGAATTAGTAAATAGTTTATAGTCATCTACTTGCGCATTAGTTGGTTAAACCTCATGATAGAGTCTATTTTTATCGTTTTGTCAAAGACTAAGTAGAACTGCAAATTTCACAAAAGTTTGTTTTGTTTGGTCTTTGTTATTAAAGTTAGAGTTTAAAAAGAATTTAATACTGAGACTTAAATTTCTCAGAAATGAGGGGATCAAAAAAGTTACAGGTCTTTTCTCCTGCTAAAGACAGATTGATTACTCAAAAAAACAGTTTTCTCTTGAATTGAAGAAAGTGCTAGAAGAGGTTAGATTAGTTACATTATTCTCTTAGAAAGCATTCATCATATAACTGTATTTATTGTATTTTATGGCTTTAGATAAGTTAAAAAGAAGGAATGGTATCACTCAGTTTGAGTGTTTAAAGTAATCCAGAAGTGCATCACTTTACTCTGTGAATTGTCTGAAAAACTCTTGTGTTCAAGTTACCACCTTTCCTGACAGTTGGAATATTGATAAAATAAATGACTAGATACTCCAAGTTTCTGTGTTTTGATTGCAGGAAAACATGGGAAGTGGAAATGAATTTTTGAAACCCTAAAAATGAAAATCTGGAGCTGAGACGTTCACTGTATCAGCAGACAGCAAAAATAAATTCTTACTTGATTCACCTTTTCCACAACAAACCCTCTACTACGGGGTATTATTTTGAAGCCAAATTCGCTCATTCGCAAGTTTTATTTAGACCTGAACAACACATTTTCACCCAAAGTGTACCCTCAAGTATCGCCCATGGTTACTGCCCGATCAGATTCTTTTTATTGGAAAACTTCCGCAGCTGTTGATATCCCTAAATCCAATTAGTTTGTTTGTTTGATCCTGTACAGACCTCCATTACGAATAACGAATATTAAATGAAAATTCAGTGTTTTTTAAACAGAATTTTTTAATTTGTCAACAAAATAAAATTCGAAGCGCTCACGAGTTCTTCCCGTGCTCTCCCCCGTCCCTCTAGTCTCCCTCGCAGCCGTTTTTTGGATGTCACGCAACGTTCCCCCAAAACGTTGGGGGAACGTTGCGTGACATCCAAAAAACGGCTGCGAAAGAGACTACCGTCCCTCCCACCTACATCTGATCTCACTAAGTCGAGTGAAACTGGCACGAAGCTGTTTGGCGGGGACTTTAATCATGGCGTCTTTCGGGTAATAGGGTAGAAGTAAATGATTTGTTCGTTGAAAATATGGCGTTTCTTTAGCGAGTAATTGATTCTTCCCAAGACTATCAGTATTATCAAAAGTCTTACCCCAAACTAATTTTTGAAGACGTGTATTCTCTTGAAATGGTTGGAAAGTTTGTTGATTATGGAGATCAACCCTTAGCTTGAAGGATCATAGCGGCTAGTGGCATGAAAATGAGTGATTACCCTAAAGATTCCTCTGCTGCATCTGAGAAACGACGATCATGGAGCTGGCGGAGACGAGAAGGGCTGGTATGACGCGAATATATTTATTAGCGACTTCATTGTGATATATTACTAATTATAAATATTTGTGTTCTTGAATCAAAGTTATACAGACTTTGTCCAGCGTTCGTTCGTTCTTCGAAAAGTTTAAAATTCAGTCAGCTAGAATTTAAAATCAAGATAAATGTCTAAAAAGAACTTTTGTACCATGTATCCCAATCGAATTCTCCTTTGATTTGCTTATCGTGGCCATCTTTGCTTTTAACTTCCTTTCCAAGGAAAAGAGAAAGTGCTGTTTGCATTAAAGATCGGAACTTATGACAACCTTTTACTCCTCCTTATAAAACTGCCCTCACGGAATTGAAGATAGTAGTTAAACGAATGCATCGAGTTGTCCTATCATCTGTATCCAATCAGTTGTATCCTATCAGCTTTCAGCTGTATCCTATCAGCCATCAGCTGTATTGAAAATGTCAGAATTTCCAAATTGCTTATTTATTAAAAGCGATAAACTGAATACAAATTAATCAATTTTGATTTAATATGAACACTTGGTATCAATTTTCTTTGATCAATGGGATTGATGGATATTATTAATTGTTATTAATTTTTCTCAGTAATTATTGCAACATGTGTCAATAACTATTTGCTATTAATACATTGCAAAGTCGTATAATGATCATATCCTAATAGATATCCCATTGTTAACTAAATGTGCAAAATTTCTCTTCTGCATTGTTTTTATCAGTGATCACGATATATCATTAAGTCTCATATTTCACATTGACCAATCTCTTAAATACATCAATATTTGGGATGACATTTCATTTATGGCTGGTCCAAATTTGCCATTTTGAAACAATTAATGTGTAATTTTTTCATTTTATCAATAAAGGGCAAAATTACTGAGCGCTGATTGGTTGAGAGAGAGGGCATTTTTTCTTAATCGAGGGCATTTTTAGTAATCAAGAGAGGGCATGATTACCTGTTAATGATTGGCTAATCTGTTGCATTGCTAATTGGTTGCTTCCCAGATAAAAATAGACTGCGCGCGTGATTTTCCTTCGTATAAATTTTGCCCTTTATGATAAACAAGTAATCCCATGAGACCTTGTACTATTAAGGATTAATTGCACTTGAGTTTTCAAAATTTTCCAAATTGCCCTCGTCACTTTGCGACTTGGGCAATTTTGGAAAAACAAAAAACTAATAGCTTTTTATCAAATGTGATTATCTAATACAAATCAGTACTTTGTCCAATTTACCTTTAGTTTTAAAACATCAAAGTTGATTTTGTAAAAAAGGTTGTGGTTATTCATTGTGCTGAATAACAATAAAAAGCTAAGTTTGTCTCATGATATATAGTCACGTGTGATGTAGATCGGGATGTTTTGACTGTATACTGCTCACCTGAAGAAGACTAGCAGTATAGGACAAAGCATTGGCAAGTCCTAAATTATTGCCTATTGTTAGCAAACAAAAAATATCACATTTTCTGCACAAGCATTGATATCTAACACAAATTACGTAATTTATGATTCTTTAATTTCTCAGGGAGAGAGTGAAGGTGAAATTGACCTAAAAGAGATCGCGACCGCAAAAAAAGAACTTCCGAAATTTTATCGCATGTGGGCTTTTTTACTTTAATTTTTCATACTGCTGTTGTTTTTAGGTTAGACTTATACTTAACTTTGTATCCTGACCTGTATGTTTACTTGCGATTGTCTTTTAATTGAAAAGAACTTTGTCATGGTGTTGGACAGCCATCTAACAATTTAGTGAAGAGATATCAAAATGAATTGTGTCTACTGTAATTTGGTATCATATTGTTGCTTATACATTCCTTCAAGTTTTAGCAGAGAATGTAGGCTTTCATTAGTATACGCACAGAAACAAACAGAATTTCCAATAATCATAGCATGATTAAGCTTGAGAGAGCAGAAAAGATATTGGAAGGGCTAATAAAGTGAAACGAGGAAAAACTTGGAACAGTGCTAAGGAAAGAGTATGTTAGTGCATGACTATACAAAAATGGTTCTTGGTAGCTCATAGTGGTAAACCTTTTGATGCTATTGGGTGGAAGACAAAATTTGAAAGTTTTTATATTTTCTAGAAAATTAATTTTGTAGGAGAAAGAATGGTTTAAAGCAGCAAGGGAATATTGTCAGTGTGGGGATGAGGACAAAACACTTAGGCTTTTAAACTTAAGATTTGGTAGGCAAGGAATAGTCCATTTTACAGTTGTGTGCTTGGTTGCCAAGCCTTTGAACAGGAATGAGGCTAAAGGTGACCTTGTCATGATACAAACCTTGCTGCTTTTCAAATGTTATCATGCTAAAAAGATACTGGTCTCTAACACAACAAGGTCACCTTCACCTCACTCCAAAACAAAGAATGTTTCTCCTAGATCTGGTTCCTATAGACACCTTAAGAATGTTTCTCCTAGTGGTTCTTAGGGAAGTTGTTACAGGCTTTAACCATTTCACTCCCAATTTCTCAGTGGTAATTCTCTTTACTGTCTGCCATACAATTCTTATGATGTTAGTTGAGAGACTTTGGTATTGGATCAACTAATAATCCCCTTATATAAATTTTTCTTCATCCTTGTCACTTGTTTGCTTGATATTGTATTGATATTGTGAGGAGAAATTCTGTCTTGGTCACTTATGGGAATTAAAATGTTAGAGCAGGTTTCCTTTTGGGGTTATCAGTTGTATAGACAGTACTTTTCATTGCGTTGTTATGTTATAGAAAGCAGAAGAAGGATCACTTGGACTTAGCTCACAAGAGGCACTGAAAAGACTTTTTGATGCCATCCATGATGAGTTAGCAACTTTTAGAGCAGTGAACCAGTGTACATGGAGAAGTGATCTTTGGAGTACACTGAGCGACAATCATCACTTGCCTATAAGCTTTATCAGTCTTGCATTTCTAGTGTTTGAGTTTCTGGTAATGGTGATGTCATTTGCCATCAGTGATAAAACAAGGAGGTGAGTTTCTAATCTTAACCTTTCATGACAAGGAATGATTGATAAGCAATTTCTCTTAACATATTATCAGTATAAAGAAAGATGTTTTTTGTCTTGTCATGAGCGTGGGACAAAGAAAAAAATCTGAGTCCCCATGAGGAATCGAACCTCAGACCTTCAGACTCTGTGCTTCGATGCTCTACCATTGAGCCACAGAGACTCCACAGTGAGCGAGGTCTATTATGGAGTTCATATTATCAATATGTTGGCAAGCAGACAGGGAATGATGATACAGAAAAATAGCATCAATGGGATTAACCCTCTCTCACTTAAATGGGTGGATGTCTGAAGTCTTCAGGAGCCTCTTTTGTCTAGCCAGCCACTATTTAGAATGTTATTTCCGTGGCTGGTGGATCTCCTCAACTTAGCCATGAGCCCCTATTTCAGACTCTAAGGAAAAAACAAAGGTGTAGTAGATTGGTGTGGGCCTGGAATCAAATGCCACAAAACCCCTGGCCCCAGACAATGCTATCCAACAGATAAATCGCTATTCAGTGGATTAGTGCTAACAAAACATACTGTACTATACACTGGATAGAGATTTATCCAAGGAAATTTACCCTTTGAACAACCAGAGCCTAATGAACAACCCCCACCTGACTTCACAAGAACTCAAAGTTCCAGTGGTACCTGTAATGAAGATAAACCATTCTTGTGGGCTTGCACTCAGGAGATTGCGATTGAATGAGAAATCCTAGTAAATCTGAGGTGTTTAATTAGGTCAAATTGTATGCAGCTGAATAAGAATGTATTAATAGCATTAGACAGTCAGAAGAAGCAATAGGTGTTTTAAGTATACTGAGAGGCTCTAAATTAAAGTGTGTGAAAATCCTCATTGTCTGTTGGATTTAGCAGTTTTTTTCTTGTACTAAGACAGAACACTGATAGTGCTTTCTCTTTTTTCTTTGCTGTAGCCTTCCACTGATAGAAGGAATCATTGTTCTGTTACTGACAGCTGTTAATTTGATATTGTGTGTACGAGAGGAAAGACTAAGAAGAACAGAGATGATCAGAAGTAGTCAGGAGTTGCTTAACAGCTGCAATGGTGAG